TGAAGATGTTCGAATTTTACGATTATCTTTTAGAATTCGGTTGCTAACTTTGTTATTTGATAAATAGAAGTGGAGTGCTTTTTAAGATAAAATATAGGAGAAACGGATTATTAATATAGAACCATCAGATTTTCATTTCTTCATTTGGTATCAATTCTTTGTTCTACCTCAGAAAAAAATTACGTTTACATCAAATACTCTATTTTGTTGCATGAACCTTATTTTTAGATTATCAAGGTTCGAACTGTATAGTGAAAGTATTTCAAAATTTTAAAATACGGACTTTACGGACAAAAAATTATTTTCATCATTTCAATTCAATTATTATTTTTAAGAATTTTTAACTAAAATTCTTCTTTAAAGCAATTTATTTTCGAAAAAGTTTTTTGACAATTTTTAAATTCATTTGTTTACAATATTCAAGTTTACGAATTTCAATTATTCGTAAATTCTTCAATATTAAATATACATTAGAAAATAAAAACTTGAAATAATATGAAAAAAATTCAATTAAACTTTTTCAAAAAAATTAATTTCAAAATTCAATTATTTCTAATAATGAAAATCCATTTTTATTAGAAAATCCTACTAGAATTCAATTAGGTATTTAAATAAAAAAAATAATAATTTCAAAATTCAATTATTTCTAAAAATTCACACTATATTGCTTTTAATATTTAATTATTATCTATAAAATTTTAACTGAAATTTATTTTTAAATCAATTTTTATTAGAAAATTATACTGGTATTTATTATTATTTCATTACAAAAATAAATCATTTATTAAATAATTAAGTATTCCTTAAAATTGAATTCTCATAAAGAATTTTATCAGCAAATTTTTAAATAATTAAATTCATTCGATGAATTTTTTAATTAAATTCTTAAAAATAATTACGTTTCTCGAGGAGTTTGATTATTTATGCGAATATAATTGAATTTTGCGACGAAATTTATAAAAAGTTTGTAAATAATTGAATTTCTATGAGACTTTTATTATTTATGAAAATAATTAAAATTTTGCGTACAATTTTATTAAATTTTTTTTAAATAATTGAATTCTTTTGGAAAATTTTATAAAAAGATATTCAAAATCATTGAATTGAAGGAAATTTTTGAAATTAATTGGAATTTTTCCAAGATTTTTATTGAAATTTTTGAAAATACATTATTGAATTTCGGAGAACAATTTTATTATTCATGAAGATGATTGAAATTTTTGACGAGAATTTCTTTTAATTTTTTAAGAATAATTACATTTTTCGAGGAATTCGATTTAAAATAATTGAAATTCTGCGATGAGTTTTATTATTTATAAAAATAATTGAATTCCTAAAAAATTTTATTATTTATGAAAATTGCGAAGAAATAATTGAATTCTTTAGTAAAATTTTCGAAAATAATTGAAATTTTTGAAATTAATTGAATTATTGTGAAGAAATAATTGAAATTTTTTAGTAAAATTTTCGAAAATATTATTGAAATTCTCCGATGAGTTTCATAATTTGTGAAAGTAATTGAATAACTGTAAAAATGTTATTATTTAACAAAATAATAAAATTTTTGCGAAGAAATTTTTGTAAAATTTGTAAATAAATTGAATTTCTGTGAAATTTTTTTTATTTATGAAAATAATTAAATTTATTTTAAATAATTGAATTAGGTAAATTAAAATTTTGCCGATTTTTAAAATTAAATCTTTTCTAAATTCAATTATTTCTAAAAATTTATCCTAAAATTCTCTTAATATTCAATATAATAAAATTTCAACTAAAATTCATTTTTAAATCAATTTTTATTAGATAATTAAATTAAATTATTTAAATAATTTAATTTCTGCGCGATAATTTGTAATGCAAAAAATAATTTATTGAACAATTGAATGTTTCTAAAAATTGAAATATCATAAATAATGTTATCAACAAATTTTGAACAATAGAATTTTTTGACGAATTTTAATAAAATTTTTAAGAATTATTTTTTTTTTCAATTATTTTTGAAAATAATTGAATTATTGCGAAGAAATTTAAAGAAAATTTGTAAATAATTGAATTCCTGTGGAATTTTTATTATTTGAGTCGTTCGCTCGAATAACGGCTTAATTCGATTTAAGCCGTTTTTCAAAAGACGCTTACCATCGTATTAATCAACATCTAAATTATAATATTTGATTGAAATTGTTTAAACGAAAATCTATTAAGTTAAATAATAATGCTTTAAATGACTCATAATTCATAAATGAATGTTAATTTTAAGATTTTCCAAAATCCCTCAAAAACACTTAAACCGTTTTTTGAGCGAACGGCTCATTTTATGAAAGTAATTAAATGTTTGCGAAGAATTTTATTAAAATTTTTAAAAATAATTGAATTTCGGAGAAGAATTTTATTATTTCTAAAAATAATTTAAATTTTAACGAGAATTTAAAAAAATTTTAAACATAATTGAATTTTTGCGAAGAATTTTATTACTTTTGAAAATAGTTGAATTTCTGGAATCATTTGTAATTCCTCCAAGATTCTCCAAATTATATCGTACAATTTACGAACTTTTCGTCATTTTCTCATTCAAATTACAGACTTTACGGACCTTTTTTAAAAAAAAAACGGAATTTTACGGACTTGAATCAAATTTATAAACCTTTACATTTATTTTGTTAATTTAACAAAAATTTGGTTGTTTCAGACAATTGGTTATTTTAAAAAACAAATTTTTCTGAGTATTTTGAAAGAAATAACAATATTATCTTTCGCATGAATATTTATCTAAAGTCTAATTCTTATTATTCTTTTTATAATAGTGAAAATGCAGGAGTTGACTTTTCAGATAAATATTTACTTGAATCAAAAATGTATATATTCATTTGAATCAATAGTGTATCTAATATAAATGTATGTATATATCGATAAAGGTGTCGTGTATACAATATGCATGTGAGCATTGCATAATGGTACCTTGAAAGTCTTCTCAAATATTCCCTTCTAACTTCTAGGTTTTCTTCAGTTTAAAAAGGTTAAGATTCACTTTCTTATAACACCTTGTAATAAATATTTGTTTCCTATTTGCACTGTACTTAAGAAAAAAGTTTACTATCAAAGCAAAAAAATCTAATCGTATTTTCAATATTTCCCAGTTCTTGAAAAACTATATTCAAATTTAACTCATATTTATGTTAAAAGTGTTAAAGAGAATTATGAATGTTTTGATTGAAAAAAAGAGTTTTTTATTATGTTTGGGAAAAATAAAGTAGATAAATTTATCTTTTAACTAATTAAAAATATGTTATTAATATTCAAGTTACAATTGAGCTAATTAACTTTCATATATTCTCTAAGTTTGCGAATTAATATATATATACACGAAGAAAAATATAGTATATCTTTTACTATTTATTTCACTAAAACCAAAATTGTTTGGAACTTCTGCGCATTTCTGTTAACTTTTACTATTTTTAAAGTGAATTTTCCTACGCTCGAGCTAATTTTTACAAAAATGTACTTCGATCGTATAGTTATAGCAACTTTTAATCCTAAAATAGTAAAAATTAATTAACTTTACTATCAATTAGTAGAACTGTTATATTAAAAGTCGATAAAACAGTTTTACTAATATATTTTAGTAAATTTTATGACTAAAAAAATAAAAATAAATGAATAAATATTACTAAAAATAAATTTTATTAGATATTTATTTTTAGTTAATCTACTGAAAAATATAGTAAAATCTTACTAACATTTAGTCACATTTTAAATTTTACTGATTGAAACCGAGAAAAGTCGTCCAGAAAAATAACCATGATTAGTGGAATTTTACTAATTGTAATTTAGAGAGGAAAATGAAAATCCTTTTATTAGAGATCATATTGAATGGAATTTATTTTCCAATAAAGTAAATATTGCGCGATTTAGTTTAATTAAATGACTTTAAAATTCTTTTTTCTTCTTTTCTTTTAAGGATCTCTGCCATTGTTATCAATGAAATATTAATCTATTAATATTTATTCTGAATTAGTTATTAGTTATTTACACAACACAATTTTTGAAATACAATGTTTATTTCATATTTGTAATTTATTTCTAAATTTCTATTTACATTTGTATAAATCAGCTAACAAAAGTGATTTTTTTTGTACACAATATTTATGCTAAATAAAATAAAGAATCAATATTATTTGTACTTTTGCAATATTTATGTGTTTCAATATTTATATAGTTAGAAGTAGACTTGATATATTTAAACTATAAACAAATGTTTTTCTTTACGCTGCTACTCTATATATAATTCGATATAAAAATTCACTTCAATACGAAAAATTAAGATTTAAGCAAAATCCGAAGTAAAAATGTACAAAAAAATTGTTATTTATACTAATTTATTGAAATGTATATAACTTTATTTAAATCACTGTTAATTATTGTAAGCATAATTTATATCTCTGATGAAAATTTAATTATGTAGATTTTTAATATCCACGTGTGCCTTGTAAAGCTATTATAAAATATCTTGAAGTAAAAAGTATACACGAAGTAAAAAATTTAAATTGCTAACAATTATAATATTTCAAGGAAAACACTTTTCTAAACTCTATTTTCTTCTTCTTTTCGTTTTCTTCTTCTTCTTCTTCTTCTTTGTTTATTCTGAACGCAATAAACTTACTCTAAAAAATTGAATTAACAAAAATGTTTACTAACTTGAATTAGTGATTGCCTTTTTGCTCTTTGAATTAGTAAATTTGACTAGTAAATAATCATTTCTATATCAATTTATTAGTAAAATTTACTTTTTTCTTTAAATTTTGCTTATAAATAGTAATTCCTACTAATTTATTATTAAAATTTACTAATTCAAAAGCAAAAAGTCAGTCGTAAACATTTTTACTGCGACTCAAATTTAGAGAGTAATAAAGATCACAAAATTTTATCAAAAACGTATTGAATCAAATATTGTATTTTAAAAGCCAAGTGTTTGATATAAATTTGAAATTTTTTCGTTAACAAATTATATTTAAACATAAATTTAAATATAATTTTTGATTGAATAAATAATTTAAAACTTTTTTTATTAAAAACCATCACGAAAAAATAATTATTCTAGATTTTTGACGACCATATCTTATTATTCACACCATGTTAAGAATAAAATCATATCTGATGCATTTCATTCTTATGTAGATTGTTTGGTTTGGTATAGTTATTATTATTATTATTATTATTATTATTATTATTATTATTATTATTATTATTGTTATTATTATTATTATAAATAAACCACAGTCAATAAATCGATAAAACCATTAAAACCATTCATATGTGCGTATACAGTATCGTCTAATTTTAATTTTCAAAATTTTAAAACACCAAATGAGAAATGACTTTGAATTTATACGTGATGTGATGTGATGCTCAACCTCATAGTGAAAGTAACCTATCTCCTAAATAAAATTAGGCTACTTTTACCGTAAACAGTTATTATTTTCTAATGTTATTTCGGAGGTAGGTCGTTTTCACCGAGGAGCGTTACATATTTTCTAATTTGAAAATAATTTTAAACGGTAAAAGGATCTTCCTCTTTCGTCAATTTCACCATTTTTGTACTTTCCTCCCACAATTTAAGAGCATCGGTATCGCTTTGTGTATTTGGAGACGCGGAGGCTACTGCACATTCTCTGCAACAAATTATTATTATTATTATTATTATTATTATCATTTTTTTATTATTAGTATTATTATTCTTATTTTTTTAATATTATTATTATAAGAAAGGAATTTATCATTCGCTATTAATTATAGTAAAGAAAGAAGTTAACAATCTCTTCGAATCATTTCCCACTTAAAGCATCTTTTTGATTTCATGAGAAGAGGAAATAATGGCGTTGTTCTATTTACTTTTATTGTTAATTTATTAAAGTTACATTAAATAATTGAAACTTGAAAGTATTATTTGTTACTTGTAATAAAGTCCAGTTTGGTTTCCTGCTTCCTCATCGACCGCGCAGTGAATTGTTGTTTGACAACCTTGATCAGGTGTTTTTACAAAATTGCCAATAATAAAACCAAATAATGCTCGAGCTCCTGGGAACATTGCTGAATCTAAATGTCGACCTAATTCAGTTGCAATTACACCTGGGTGCAAGCTGTAGACATTTATTCCTTCGATTTTAGCCTCTGCAATTGGAAAACAATAAATTGGAGATTACATAAAAAAAGTAGTAAAATCGTTTACATCCTGGAACCAAAATTAGGAAAGCAGACAATATTTTTAAGTTTATAACCAGATCTTGGATACCAACTCGGATACCAAAGAACATCTTGGAACCAAATTTAGAAAAGTGGACAATAGTTTTAAGTTTAAAACCAGATTAAATTAATTTTAAAACTTTAAATCACAGTCTGAAGGCTAAAACTCTCAAAAGGTTCTATAATTTAAATATAGTGATTAAAAAGTGGAATGAGAGAGAGAGATTTATTACAATGTATAAAGATTCTAAGAAAGTAATTATTCTTATTCTTTGTTAGTTAAATGTACCTTTGAATTTGTTGACCAATCCTCTTGAGAAGAGTACATTGGCCAATTTACTTTGTGTATATCCCTTCATGGGTGTGTATGAATTTTCTAAATTCAAATCATTCCAATTCATCCGACCTCCTGAAGAAAATAAATACAGTTAACAATAATTAACATAATTTATACATAAGTCTTGAACTTTTGCCAATTTCAAGTCTTGATTCACAGTTTTTCTGGAGATATCAAATTGAGACAAAAAAACACATCAAAATTGATGCGATGCATTGTTGCATCGCAACAATTTTGATATGTTTTTTGTCTCAATTTGACATCTGCAGAAAAATTGCATTTACAATTAAAAAATAGAAAGTTTTCAATCAAATTAAAAAAAAATTAATTAAATTTACGATTGTGATGGATAATTACTTTCGTGAGCTACAGATGAGACATTAATAATTCTGCAACCAGGAGCAGAAACTTTGATTTTTGGCAGTAACAATAGAGTCAACAAGAAATGTCCCAAGTGATTTGATTGCAAGTGACATTCGTTGCCATCTTCAGTTTTTTCATAGGGGCACAGCATCACGCCAGCATTGTTTATTAATATATGAATATTTGGTTCGGAGTTAATTATTTGTTTTGCGCATTCCCTAACACTTGCTAGACTATTTAGGTTTAATTTATAAACAACCACTTCGCCTACTTCCCCTTGAAATTGTTGTCGATTAGGTCTATAAAGAATTATTACAAAATTTTAATTAATGAAAGAAAGATTTTCCTTTTCATTCTTCTAGCTTTTTTATTTAAATTTATGAAATTATTAATTTAGAATAAAACATTTTTAATACATACTTTAGTGGTAGCGTCGATTTCACTTCTTCAGCTGCTGCATTCGCTTTTGTGAGATCTCGACAGGCTAAAATCACTCTGGCACCTATAACAATAGTTTTTTATTTTATGTCAAGTCAATAAGAGAAATTATGAAAATTGCAGCAAAAATTTGTTTAAGTTCCAGACTCCAATTTTTGTTGAATTCTTTTACTCATCTTTTTACTATTTTTACACTCTGAGAAAAATTTTATTTAAACTAATTATAATTTATTTGAGTTAAATAAAAGTAGTTTTTTCTCAGAACGTATACTAAATTATTTGTTAAATAAAACTTTATTTAAAGTTCAAATAAAATTTTTCATTTTTTGAAATTTGTATATTTAAAAAATTTTGAACAACTTTTGAACTATCACTATTAATAATAATTAAAAACACATGGATTTATCTCTTCCATCAATAAATTATTGAAGTACATTATATTGATGATTCAAAAACAAAGAATTTTATTCAAACGTGATTGTTGACTTATAGGTATTAATTTTTTTCAAGAAATTTTCATCTCAATAAAAGAAAAAGTATATTGATGAAAGAATAACAAGATAAGAAAAAATATTATGTAAATGATCTCTGAAACTATTGTTATTTTTTTATTTTGGAACGATCAAAACTTATGTAAATCATTGGAATTTGATTTAAATAGTGTAATAATTAACAAATGACTAATTTTTTTATTTTTATGTATAGTTTTTAGTTTTAATATAATATTATTAATAATTAATATTTAATATTTATTATAATTTTATAATAATATTACATATTCATTATTAGGTATAATTTATTGAATCAATAAATAACTATTAAAAAAACTCAAAGTATAATACAATTACGTAAAAGAAATAAAATATGACATAAAATAACCTTTTTATATTTATTAAATAAAATAAAGGTCAACATATATTTTTTTATATAAGTTGCGGTTGACTAAACCACATCCTTGAATTTGAAACTAATAAAGGTAAAAATGAAGATTTACTTTAAATTAAGATGATATTAAATACTATTAATTAAATACTGATATTGCATTTATTCTATTTTACATTTTAGTAGTAATTAGTTTAAACAAAATAAATCTTTTAACAATAAATTCTTTTATTCAGTAGTAAAAAGAAATAATTTCTAAACTGATGTTTAAATCTGAAATTTATCCAGAGCTGTTTATTGGAAGTAATTACACCCAATAAATGTAAATGTAATTACGTTTACATCACAGATTCAGTAATGAGCAAAATTCAAGACCTTTGTTTTTTTCTACTTCTTTTTTCTTTTGCTGATTAATTTGACTTTTTGTTTATCAAATAATTTTTCCGTATTAATTCATTTATTAAATAAAATTCTATTTAAAATGAAAAACATAATTTTATTTCATTGTAAACATTATGATTTGTTAGAAATATTTTGGAATTTGATTGAAATGAGCGGGGAATTAGTAAGAGATGCACGTTCGGTTGGGATGTGGCTTTAAATTTAGAACAATCATATTTCTGACCGTAATTAATGTCTACAATTATTGTTGAGTCAGGAAGTTTAATTACATTGCCTTTTAATGTTCATTTAATACGTTATTATGTAAAATTTCGTTTTTAATTTTTTGATACAATAAAGCAAATAATATACGTATAAATAAATATTCTCTCTAAATTTTAATTATAGTAAAAAGGTTACTAATTTGAATAAGTGAGTGACTTTTTGCTTTCAAATTAGTAAACTTTATACTAATTTATTTATTTACAAATCAAGATCTCGTATTTTAAGTAATTTTAAAGTAATAAATACTAATTTAAACTAATTTATTAGTAAAATTTACTATTTAAAATTTAGAGAGTTGATACACTGAAAAAAAATGTATTTAATTAAAATAATTGATTACTTGACTATTATCAATTAAATATTTACAATTTAAATATTTAATAAAAGTTAGATTTTTATTTAAGTCAATTAAATGGTATTTGAACCAATAATTTCAGTATTTGATTCAAGTAAATATTTAATTGATAATAGTAAAATAATCGGTTACTTGATTCAAATAAATTTTTTTCAGTGTAATTTAAATCAATCTATAATAATTTTAAACTAAATTTTTAAAATTAAATAAAGTTTCAAAATTCAAAAAAACATTCATTAATTATTATATATATATGATAGTAAATGAAAAAGTGTAATTAAAAAATACCTCTTCTGTAAAGATCCTTGGCTGCTTCTTTTCCAATTCCAGTATTTGCCCCAGTAATTAAAACAGTTTTCCCGACAAGTCGGACTTTACTTTGACAAGTTCGACTAAAGGGCCACATTCTAAATTTTGATATTCACACAATTTCTTTTATTTTTATTTTCTATTTAAATTTATAAATTTTTATTTACAATTTTCTATTTTTTTAAATTAAAATTTTTTTCAAATATTTTTTTTTATATTAAATTAAACATATTTATATTATTGTATTGAATGCACGAGATGTAGAATCGGTTAAAATCATTATTCCACTCTTCTTCAATAGCAACTCAAAGTAACTGTTGGGATATTACTCATGCTCCGTGGTGTAATATACCTTAGACCGTTATATTCTTTCTTCGAGAGAAGGGGAAACAATTTTAAGAGAATGTAAAAAAATGAACAACATTAATGACGAACATTTTTTTCAAAAACTACATTTGAAAATATATATTTAAAAACGTATTACAAAAAAAAATTAAAGAATATTAGTAACTTAAATATCACTTTTTGTCAGCAAAATTTTAATAACAAAGTTGATAATCGACATTCCCAACTTTATTCTTAAAAATATGCTTCATTATAACTTTATTATATTTATTGTATTTAATAATTTAAATTTATAAAATTTAATTTTTAAATCAAAATGCAATTCCATTAAATATATTATTATTGTTGAATTAAATAAACAAAACTTAATTTTCAGAAATAAAAGTTAGATTTTTTGTTGGTGGGAAACGAACAAAAAATAATTTAAAAAAAACACAAAAAGTTGACTAAAATAAAGTATTAAATATGTTCTCAAAAATTGAAATTTATTTTTCTTTTTTACCTTCATTGAAGATGAGAAAAAAAATATCTTATTATCATAATATATCTTTATGTATAAAAACAATTTATTAAGGTTCTTTAATTAAAGAAAAGAAATTATTTTAATTAAAATTAAAATAATTATTAAATAATAATTACAGTTTCTTTAATTAAATTTAATAATTTTTTAATTCATTAAGTTTAATTACGTTTTTAATTTCTATATTGCAATTAGTAATAATTGAAGGTTTCGATAAAAAATCGTTTAACTTTTTTTAAACTAAAAATCATTGTTCAATAAATCAAAAACTCAGAAATTTTAAATCGCAATTTTCGAAGGAAAATTTTTATAATCTTCAAAAAAATACGAATTTACAGTTTTTCTAAGGATATGAAATCGAGACAGAAAACAAATCAAAACGTTGCTTAAGCAACGTTTTGATTTGTTTTCTGTCTCAATTTCATATCCTTAGAAAAACTGAAATGCTTGTACAAGAAACTAAAGTTAAAAATACGTTTTTTAATTTAGAGCGGAAGAATTTTGTAGCTATTTTAAAAAATTGTAACCGGTCCTTGATCAGGACCGTACTTTTAGATTTATTTTTTTTCAAAATATTTCCTTCGTTTCAGTAAAATTTTTTTTTCAGAATTTTTCGAGTATTTAATTATATTCTTTAAAATTTGTTATTTACTATTTTGTAATTTATTATTTGTTTAAAATTACAAGTCGATAAAATTTGCAATAAAAGTCAATATTGTTTTAGCAACAAATAAAATATAAACGTAAATTCCGAAATTCCTTCTCAGAGAGTGAAAATTTGAAATTCAATTTTCGTCCAGCAAAGATATTCTCAGGTCTTTGGGAGAAACAAAAGGAAAGAAGATAAGGATAAGAATTTAAATGTGAGTGGGGAAAAAACTCGGACTCATAGGTACGAAATAGGAACCTGTTTGGAGATTCAGTTTCATATCCTCGGACACATAACTTGTCGCTTTCTTTGGTGCACGTGTGCATCGTGAAAATTCCAAATAGCAATGTCACAAAATCGTTGCTAAATTTTTAGTTTTTACATTCTTTTCCCATAATACTCATTAATTGTCTATTTTTCTTGAAAATATTTTCTCAAAATTTTCTTGTTTAAAATTCTCTATCAATTTTACTAACAAATGGATAAAATGTTTAGAATTTATAATTTTAATTTTGAAAACGTGATAAATAAATTTAGACGTGCTCTGTCTATTGCCAAGGATGCTGAAGTGATGAAGAATGTCAAATCGTTTGATGAAATTCCTGGTCCAAAGGGTCTGCCTTTCTTAGGAAGTTTTTTCAAATACTTCCCGATTATAGGTAATTAATTTGAATAATTATTTTACTAATTAATTTATTTTTCATTTTGTTAATTTTGTCATTTTTAATTTTGTTAAATTTTTTTTTAACTCATCTGATTCAAAGGGTCTTTTTTATAAGATTTTTTTTCAAAAATTTTCCAAGGTAACTAATTTAAATTATTTTATTAACTAATTTAATAATTATTTTTCATTCCGTTAAATTAAATAAATTTTAGTTAAAGATAAATTTTATTTAAGGTAAAGAAGAATTAATTACTTTTGCTTCCAATGAAAATTTTCTAAAGAATTGTCATCAACGTTTAAGTTCGTTTTGCATATTTTATTTTCTTATCTAAAAAAATGCACAAAATTCTGTAAAATAATAAGACTAATATAAAAATGAATAAAATTGTTTAATTTTATTTAAATTCGAAAATTGTTAATTAAATTTTAATTTTCAATTATTTTCTAACATTTTTTTTCGATACTTGACTTTTGAACTTCCCTCCATGAATATTGTTAAATAATAGTTAAAACTGAATTTTAATTTCAATATTGAAATAAAAAATAAATAATCTTTTGGAAAAGTAATATTAGTTTTCTTTCTATAATTAAAAAACGCTTTGTCCTGAAGCTTCATTTCAAAACTGCAATTTGAAACTGTCTTTAAAGTGAAATAAACTCTTCATTGATATTTCAGGCGACTACGATGTGAAACGATTGCACATTATAGGAAAAAAAAAATTTATGGCATATGGACCACTTGTGAGGGAAAAAGTTTTAGGTCAAACGATAGTTTGGGTTTTTCGTCCCGAGGATATTGCGGAAATTTTTAAATCTGAATACGGAAAAATTCCAGCAAGAAGAAGCCATCTTGCACTCTATAAATATAGAACTGACAGAAAAGAAATCTACAAAACAGGAGGACTTTTACCAACGTGAGTTTCTTGTACCAAAACATTTTTATTTTTTACTTTCATCAAAAACAGGAAAACGCAATAATAAAATTTATTAATAAATATTTTGTATTTATATTTATATTAATATAATTTGTAATTTGCATATATAATTTGAAAAATATTTCTTTTTAATTAAAAAACATGGGTAAAAAATTATTAACTTTGTACTATTCATAAAAAATGCTGTAAATTTCAAAAAATATCAAATGTTCTAAAAAAAAAATATGAAAAAAAGCAAATTTTTTGTTTGATTTTATTTGAGTCCAAGAAGTTGGGAGTTTTTGAATGAAATTTAAAGTAAAATGTACCGCTAGAGGGCAGCACTTGCTGAACACAAAATTTTCCTATTTTACTTCCTAGCGCCACGTATTATTTTCAAAAGTAATGAAATTCTTCGATAAAATTCAATTTAGTTAAAAAATTTTTTTAAATTCTCGTAAAAATTTCAATTATTTTTTAAATATAATAAAATCCTTCTCTGAAATTCAATTACTTTAAAAATTTTTAATAAAGTTCTTGGTAAAATTTCAATTATTTTCAAAAATTTTCCTCGATTCAAGGATTTTCAAATTATACTATTTTAATATTCCAAAGAATTCAATTCAATTTCTTCGCAATAATTCAATTACTTTCATAAAGTATTAATACAATTTTTAACAGAATTCAATTATTTAAAAAATTTTTTTTAAAAAATTCTTTGAAAACATTCAATTATTTCCATAAATAATAAAATTTCCGCAGGAATTCAATAATTCAAAACACAATTTTCATAAAATATTTCAAAATAAAACGAAATATTTAGAAAGATTTTTATAAAATTCTTCGTCAAAATTCAACTATTTAAAAAAAAATAAAATTTTTCTCATGAATTTAATTATTCTGGAAAATTTTGTTATAATTTGTTTATTAGAATTTAATAATTATTTTAAATACATTTTTAATTAAATTTATTTTTAAAAAATTAATTATATTCAAAAATAATGAAATTCTTCGTAAAAATTTAGTTTATTTCCAAAATTTGTCGAAATTTTGAAGAGGTTTCAAATTAAAATCTTTGAAAATCTGAATTTTTTATACTTTTAACTAACAATTCTGTAGAATTAATATTTTTGAAAAAGTTTAATGGAATTTTTTTAAAATTATTTTAATTTTTTATTTCCTAATATATATTTAATTAAAGAATTTCCAAAAAATCGAAATTTTCTTAAAATTGTATTGTAAAAAAATGGATTTAAAAATTTTCAAAAAGATAACTTTTCGAAAATTATTAAAACAATCGATTTAGAGAAGGATTTTAGTTAAAAATTGTAGAAAATAATACCGGAATTTACCCAAATTTTGTAATAACTGTTCGAATTGCAATAAAATTCTTTGGAAATAAAGTATCCGAACTGGCATGGCGACAATCTTTGACAAACGCATTGACACTGCGCAGAGTAAAAAAAAATTTTGATTTTTTTAAACTTTGGAAGAATAAAAAATATAAAGAATAAAAAGTTTGAGATTAAAATTTTTCTAGTAAATTGATTAAAATGTACTGAATTATAAAATACCTATGTTTAAGTAATTAATAAAAATGAAATATAATTATTATATTTTAGCAATGGTACCGAATGGCTGAGAATAAGAAGACAATTTCAAAAATCCTTAAGTAAACCCCAAGAGGTGGTGATGTATCTCAAAGATGCAAATTCAGTAATGGAGAAATTTGTCGACTATTGCAAGCAAAAAGATTATGATGATCTTCTGCCCCTTTTATCTCGTCTATACTTGGAGTGTTTGTATTTTATTTAATTTCTCACAAATTATATTATTTAACTTAAATTCCAATATTAATAAATTTCGAAATTATTGCAGTAATCGGTTTGGTTGCATTCGATGAAAAAATGAATAGTTTCTCTAAAGAGGAGATGCGAGAAGACTCCAAGTCTACGAGATTAATTGACTCTGCTCTAGTTACAAACGATGCTGTTTTGCATTTGGACGGAAATATGAGACTCTGGCGATTCTTCGATACTCCTCTCTACAAAAAAATGAGCAAAGCCCAAGAATTTATGGAATCGTAAGAAAAAATTGTATAAATTGACTATTTTTTTTCTACGAATAAATTCGAGTTACTAAATCAAATTATTTCTTTTTCTAGAGTCGCAGTGGATATGGTGAAGAAAAAGAAAGATACATTGAAGAATTTAACGAAAGATAGACAACTTTCTTTGCTAGAGACGTATTTACTGAATGAAAATTTGGACGAAAGAGATGTCGTCGGTATGGCTTGTGATATGTTACTCGCTGGAGTAGATACTGTGAGTAAAATCAATTTAATTACCTAATATTTTTAATAAATGTTTTTAAAAAATATTTTTTTAAAATATCGCGAAAAAAAAATTTCGGTTCCGATTATTAAAAATTGAAATTTTCTTTCGTAGACGACAAATACATCTGCCTGGGTTTTGCATCATTTAGGAAGAAATTTGAAAGCACAAGAAAAATTGTACCAAGAGGCTTCTAGTTTACTCCCGAATAAAAATGATACCATTACATGTGATATTTTGAAGCAGGCAAATTATGCAAAATTAGTTTTAAAAGAGACTCTCAGACTAAATCCAATTTCTGTGGGAGTTGGAAGAATTTTACAGACTGACGTAGTTCTTAATGGCTACAAAATTCCAAAGGGAGTAAGTATTTACATCAACTTCTACTAAATTACTTTTAGTTCTTATCATACAAAATCGTTAACAATAAAATAAACCCTCCGTTTATATTTAAAATTTTTCAGTATAACTTTTTCTAAACTTCTTTAAATCAAAATTTAAAAATGACAAATTCACACACTTTTTAGTCGAAGGAAAATCACTCACTGAATTTTGAACTTTGTTGAATTATTACTGACACTAGGTAAATCCAGGTGAAACAATACTCCTGCGCATAAATATCAATAAAGGTTGCGTACAACCTAACTGGAAGGGCACCTGATAATAAATATATTGATTTTTAAGGGTCAATATGAATTCAAATTTAACTCTAAACGTTCACTTTTCAGACGAATGTAGTAACTCAGAATCAAGTAATCTGCCGATCGCCGGAATATTTCTCTGATCCTGATTCGTTTATACCCGAACGTTGGTTACGAAATGGAGACAATTTAAAGTATAATTCAGAAAAACCGATTCATCCCTACGCTGTGTTGCCGTTCGGTCATGGATCTCGATCCTGCATAGCTAGACGCTTGGCAGAACAAAATATGCTAGTTTTCATTTTAAAGGTACGAATACTAAATTTTAAGTATTTTTCTTCTTCTTTACGTCAATTAATTTTACTAAATAAATTTTAATTAATTTTACTGTTTTTCAGATATCTAGAAATTTTCAATTTACTTGGCAAGGTGGAGAACTCGATTCTATGAGTTTGTTAATTAATAAACCAGACGCTCCCATTAAACTCAAATTTAGCGAAAGATAAACTAAGTGTAATATATTAAATAATTTAAGTTGTAAATCACGTTCCATTTTTATTTTTACCTTTTTCCCTTATTAGATATTAAACAATTTTTTTCATTTGTAAAAGACTCTCCCAGTTAAAAAAATCCAAAGGCTTAATGCAATGAATTAAGTTTTTTTTTCTAATTTTAAGAAAATTACTCCAATTCTATTTTTATACGAATTTTTATTAATTATTAACGAATTGAGTTAATGTAAAACTTATTCTTAGGGCAAATTTTAGCCAGTACAAATAGCTTGCTTTTTTATGAGAGTTTAATTATAAGTCATGTACTTGGGAGTAGCGGAGAATTTAGCGTAGGACTTAATAACTTTGTTGACGGCTTCGAGGAAGTCTTTTTCCGTAGCAACTTTACGACGAGCTCGGATTGCAAACATGCCAGCTTCAGTGCACACTGAACGGATTTCCGCTCCTGTACTGTTGGGGCACAAACGAGCTAGAAGTTCAAACCTTATGTCTCTCTCAACACTCATTGAACGAGCGTGAATTTTGAAAATGTGTGTCCGTCCCTCGAGGTCAGGAAGCCCGAATTCCACTTTTCTGTCTAAACGTCCGGGACGCATTAAAGCAGGATCTAACGTGTCTGGTCTATTCGTTGCCATCAATACTTTAATGTTACCTCTTGGATCGAATCTACAAGCACATATTTAATTAGACTAAATTCTCAATAAAATTACCAAATTTTTTCTTTTAATTTTTAAGTAAAGTGAATAGTTATTATAATTTGATAAGTTACTATTTCACGAAATACTAATTTCAAATTACGATTAAAAAAAAGAAATAAAATGGAAAAGAAAATAAAAAGTAAAATTTACGAATTGACTTACCCGTCAAGTTGATTGATAAGCTCCAACATGGTTCGTTGGACTTCATTATCTCCACCAGCGCCGTCATCAAACCGTGCACCACCAATAGCGTCGATTTCGTCAAAGAAAATAAGACATGCTTTTTTACTGCGAGCCATTTCGAAAAGTTCTCGAACCATTCTAGCTCCCTAAAAATAAATTGGTATTAAAATTTCGAAAAGAAACTTTGATTTTCAAAGTTGAAAAATATTTACCTCGCCAACATATTTTTGTACTAATTCGGAACCAATGACTCGTATAAAACATGCGTCAGTTCGGTTTGCCACAGCGCGGGCACAAAGTGTTTTTCCCGTTCCCGGAGGTCCGAAAAGAAGAACTCCTTTAGGTGGTTCAATTCCTAGGTTTACGAACTTTTCCGGCTAAAAACAAACACAAATTAGTTATTTATACAATTATTACTTTTACAAAAAGAAAAAGAAAATTAAAAAAAAGGAAATTATATTCTGAATAAATAAAATAAAGTTATGAAAAATGAAAAAAAAATTACATGAAGTAAAGGTGTTTCGACGACTTCTCGCAATTTTTCTATTTGTTCCTTGCATCCACCAACATCGCTGTAAGTAACATCGGGTTTCTCCTCCACTTGCATCATCGTTACAGTTGGATCGATTTTCGGTGGCAGAGGTATGTGAATTTGATATTTATTACGATCTACACCCACTCTCATACCCTCTTCAATATCTGTCGGCGCAACAGAATCCGCCAAGTCGACCACAAACTTTGCGAATTGCTTTACATTAATAATATATTTAGGATCATCAGTGTCCGCATTGATAATTTTTGTGCAACGAGCCACTTGCAATGGTTGCTCATTTTGTAAAGTTTGTTTATCAGCAGCAAGATCCCATAGAGCTGGAGGTGCGAGACCAGTGTCGGATTCTTTAATTCCAGTCAATTCATTCACCCTCTTTATCACCGTTTGAATATCCTCCTCAACATTCTTTATGCTCTTCGTATATTGTCCTTGACCCTGTTCAGAAACCAAAAGAAAATTTTACTCCATTACTTTATTAAAAAACAAAACAAAAAAAAAGATAAAAAAAGTAATTTCAGATTTACTTTTTATTATTTCCAAGAGTCAAAAAATAAACACTGAAAATTGTAAAATTTAGAAAGCAAGAATTAAAATTTCTTGCAAATGTATTAACATTTGCAATATTTAATACGAAATTGGTATTTAATATTCACTAAAAATTAGTTTTAAATTGATAGTATTATGAAAACAAATGATATTGGAGCAACTGTCTATAAAAGAAATAATTCAAATAAAAATTATTTATTTTGAATACAGATTATTTTAAGAAGTAATAACAAACTTACGTATGTTTTTAATAGAGCGATATCTCCTTCGTCAAGAGCTAGAATAAAGAAAAATTGTATGAAGGAGTAAAATGACAGAAGGAAATTAACGTTTTTACAGCTCCAGAAGTTTGCAGTAAAACTTACGTTTTATATCTTTTTCTTCCTTATCTTCCTCAGATTTGACTTTCCTCATATCATCTCCTAAATGATCCGGCATTTTAAAGCTTTTTTTTATAATTAAAATGAAATAAACACTTAGAAACTTAGCTTTCAGAACAAAATTTACTATTTATGATTTGAAGGTTATGTACGCCACGACCGATTACAAGCGAAAATTTCCAACCAAGACTACATACTTTAACATAGAAAGGTAATCATCCATTTCTTTCATTTATATTCGTGTTTCTTTGTTTTTATTCTATTCTGAAAGATATATTATTAATATTAATTTTTAATAACATAAAATTTTATTTTAAAAAGTAAATGTATACGTAAATCTGTAAATTTCAGATTTTTGAAATTTTCTTAAATTTTATCAAGACTAAAATTTTACTCCAACAATAAAAAATTTAACTTAAAGCTTTGTAATTGTTTTTCAACTTTATTATTATTATTATTATTATTATTATTATTATTATTATTATTATTATTATCTCATTTGAAAGTAATTAATTACCTAATAAAATGTTTCAAAAAATTCTTATTTTTTGAATTAAAGCGCCAAAGCCCCAAAAAAAACAGTAACCGCAATGGGTAAGGCAGACACCGAGCTTATCGACGAAAATAATTTTTTTTTGTCTGCATCTATTTAATATGCATACACATAGATAGAAAATACTACATAGTACATAGTTCGACGTCAATGTTAATAATCGCGGTTGACTATAATTTGTTTTTAGTTAATAGTAGAAAAAAAGAAACCGCGTTTACTATCCACGGTGTAGACAAAAATTTTCATTGCATTTGTATCAGTCCGTAAAAGTGTAAGTTGTTTATGCTTATAATGCATCTGAATAAGTAAGATGGCGACTTGTTTGAAAAGAACGTCAAAATTATTCGATCCTTCGTTGTGCCGAAGTTCTTCCTATGCTAATTTGAGAGATTTATTGTGCCCAGTGTGCCGAGCAATTCTTATCGAACCAGTGACCCTCCCTTGCGAGCACAACCTGTGTTTATCATGTTTAAATGGAACGATTCAACACAACAACCTAAATTGCCCTCTTTGCAGAACTCGAGTTGGCTCCTGGTTACGAACAAATAGCAAGTCAAATACCTTGGTCAATATCAGACTTTGGGAGATAATTCGAACCAAATTTCCAAAAGAAGTTGAATGTAGAAGGAACGGCGAGGATACGGATATCGACCTGGACCCAGGTGAGAGCGTCTTTCTCTATAAACATAACCTACTCTCTCTTTCGTTTATTCTTTTTTTGTCGATTTTGTCTTTTAAGCGCTTATACAATGTTATCAGCAGAACTCTTGCGCTATATTTTCCATTTAATTCCTATAGTCGCTTTTTGAATACTGTTTTATATATACGTTTGATTATAATTTTATTCTCCCTTCGCAGGATATGCAGCAAGAACGAAAATTCTCAGCGCAGCCGGCGAAATAAGAAAAGAGTATGAAACTCAACTTCAACTTGAAGAGGAGGAAAAACGTCGAAAACAACAAGCAGAAGCAATTGCCAGTGAAGCATTAATTCGAAAAATTCAAGCTGAAGAACAACAGCAATTAGCACAGTTGGCTCAAGATGAATTATTGGCGAAAACCTTGGCGAAAAAAGAAATTCGTACCAAGTTTGACACCAAAATGAAGACTGAACCTGTATCAAAAACTGTTCAAAAAACAAAAAACCAAGACACTTTTGATTGCGACGAACCAATAATCACCAAGTTCAAATCTGTTATGCATCCACAAAAAACAAATATTGCCTTGATTTCAAAAATTCGAGCGGAGAGTTACGCTTCCAGTATTAAGTCCACCGGATTGAACCAGTGTAAAGATTCCTCAGAAAAAATGGGATCTTATAAAAATCTACCAGTGCAAGATACAGTTACGAGATTATTCAAAAATCAAGTAATAACAAAATTCATTCAACCGAGTAGTTATAATTTTAATTTGGAACCGAGTTGTTCGAAAATTTATGGTCTACAAAGCAAGGAGGAATTACATGTTCCCAATGATGTCTTAAATTCGAAGAAGAAAAATGTAGAAGTGGAAATTTGCGTAACTACTGTTACTGATGATTCGAGAATTGGAAGTGCGGAAAGTGCTGGCAGTCATGATAGTATTAATCAAGAAATTCATCATTTTAAACCGATTAAAGCTATGCCTCGAACGGCATTAAGAACAACTAGAGGTGATTGTTAAAATATTTTATAAATTCTCACTTTATGTAAATTAACATGTTAATTTATTTCTTTCAGAAATTTTTTACTTTCCAGTCATTTTTTACTTTTTCTAATATTTATATTTATTGTTTCAGACGGTCGACAAATTGATACTAAATTGGTTAGAGTTGTTCCTATTTTAAAAAGGGTTACTAATTTGGTGCCAAAATCTCCTTCTCTCACACGTTTCAAAAGAATACCCAGTTGCTCTTGGAGTGCATTCAAAGGTAAATTTTTGTCTTAATTAACAAATTTTAATTTATACTTTCTTCTTTTTAGTTTATTAAGAATTATTGAAATATTACACCTAGCAGGGCTCGAACTAGGTCCGTAAATTTGCTTCAAGTCCGTAAAAGTTAGTTTTTTTGAAAAAAGGACAGTAAAGTCCATAATTTAATTGAGAAAAGACGGGAAGTTTGTAAATTGTACTATATAATTTGGAGAATTTTAGAGAAATTACAAATGATTCCAGAAATTCAATTATTTTCAAAAATAATAAAATTCTTCGCAGAAATTCCATTATGTTCAAAAAATTAAAAAAATTCTCGTCAAAATTTCAATTATCTTTAAAAATAAATAAAATTTTTATAATAACACTCTACTCCGTAATTCAATTATTTTTAAAAATTTTAATAAAACTCTTGTCAAAACTTCAATTATTTTCAAAAGTTAAAAAAAAAATTTTTCAATTATCTTTATAAAGAATACTTAAAACACTTCTCCGAAATTCAATTACTCTAAAAAATTTTAATAAGATTCTTGGAAAAATTTCAATTATTTTCAAAAATTTTAATTACATTCTCCTCCAAATTTTCAATTTTCAATTATTATTCATCGCAGAATTTCCAATCCAATTATTTAAAAATTTATTGATAACATTTTTTGCGAGAATTCAATTATAAGAAACATGCAATTATTTAATAAACTGTCTTTTTGTATTTAAATAATTGAATTCTAGTAAAATTTTCTAATAAACATTGATTTCAAAATGGATTTCAGTTAAAATGTCAGATTATAATTGAATATTTAAAGCATTAAAGCGTGAATTTTTAGAAATAATTGAATTAATTTAGAATTAATTAGTCCATTAAGAGTGGAATTAATTTTTTTGAAAAAGTTTAATTGAATTCTTATTGAAATTATTATTTGAAGTTTTTATTTTCTACTAAATAATATTTAGTTGAAGAAGTTCCGAATAATCGAAATTTTTGATGAAATTGAATTGTAAACAAATGAATTTGAAAATTCTCAAAGAATGTTTTCAAAGATTATTAAAAATAATGCATTTACAGAAGAATTTTAGTTAAAAACACGAAAAAAAATTTAATTTTGTCAAAGTTACAAATTATTGCACAAATTCAATTATTTTCAAGAGTAATAATATTCTTCTTAAAACATTAAATATTGTTCAAAAATAATGAAATTCTTCTTAGGGATTCAATTATTTTCACAAATAATAAAACTCATCGTAGAATTTCAATTATTTTTAATATAATTTTAATCGAATTTCTTGAAGAATGTAATTATTCTTAAAAAGTTTATTAAAATTTGTCGAAAGAATCCAATTATTAGAAAATTTGTTGATAAAATTCTTTACAGGAATTGAATTTTAAGAAACATTCAATTCTTCAATAAATTATTTATTTGCATATTATTTGTATTTAAATAATTGAATTCTAATGGAATTTTCTAATAAAAATTTATTTGAAAATGAATTTCAGTTAAAATTTTAGATAATAATAAATTGAATATTAAAAGCAATGTAGCGTGAATTTTTAGAAATAATTGAATTTTGAAATTAATTTTTTTGAAACAGTTCAATTGAATTCTTTTTATATTATTTGAAGTTTTTTTTCTAATATTTATTTAATTGAAGAATTTACGAATAATTGAAATTTCGTTAAATTGAATATTGTAAACAAATGGATTTGAAAATTGTATTAATATTACCAGTCAATTGCCTGGTAATATTTTTGTCAGTAATTGATCTTTAAAGTCCGTATATTCAAATACTTTCACACGTTCGAGTCCTGACTCAGAGAAAAGACTCAGAGTCTACTAAACTTTTTTTATTTGTTTCAAACAAATTTTCTTTTTTTTTGGTTTAAATAAAATTTTCCTTTGGGTGTAACAATAATTGATTAATAGAATTTTGAATTTTATTTGTAGGGAAAATAAAAGATTCCAAATCCAGTTCAGTTTTGAGCAAGATTGAGAATTTAGAATCAACGATTAAACCAGTGGCAGCACCAGTGCAGATAGTTACAATTTCTGGAACTTTAGTAAAACCTCAAGTGTCCGAAATAATAGATGTCACTTCTGAAATGTCGTTTGATACGAACAAAAACATAAAGAAAATAATTAATGGTACAAAGATTAGTAAAAAATTAAATCTTGAAGAAAGTAATAGTTGTGATAAGGTGAAGAAAATTTACGACAGTCCAGTGAAAAATGGCACATTGAGGAAGAATAAACGACAAAAGAATAAGTGCAATGATTCAGACGATTCATACAGCGATTCTGATATAATAGATAGTCAATCGATCAATTCTTCAAAGTCCGATATTTCGGTAGCGTCCACTGAGACACAAAAGGAGGTTTCCATTGAGGAAATTCCAATTGAAAACATTGCCGAGAGAATTAAAAAGCGGAAAATCAACATTGAGAAGAGATACAATAACAACACTGACGATTTCGTACGACGAAGTCTTAGAAAACGATCCACTGCCGTTAAATACATCACTGGAAGTTCAGAAAGTTTGGACGAATTTTCAGATGATGAGGAGGAATTACCAAAACAGAAACGCCCCCGAAAAGGTGCTCCGAAATTAATGAAGGAATCGGAAATAGTGAAAAATTCAAGTTCAAAAGTTAGAAATCAACCACCAGAATTGACGCGCGAATTGCCAGTTTCAAATAAAAGGAAAGGCAGAAGACGAAAAACAAAATCACCAATAGAAGAGGAGGAGGAAGTGGAGAGTGACGATCTTAAAACTTCTCTAGACGATAGTGCAGAGAAAGCGGAGAAAGCTTCTGATGATGAAATTATTGACGAGCAAAAACGAATAGAATTGCTTCTTCGTCAAGAACAAGAAGATCGTGAAATGGCCGAAAGATTGCAGGCTCAATTCAATGAATGGGAAAACATGGCTGGCCGTACGAGAAACTCAAGGAGGGCTCTCGAGATTGGAAGCGACAATCCCGAGAATCCCGACGTAGGCTTAGGAAAGAGGGAGCGCAGAACTGCAAACTCGCACATCAACAAACAATTAAATCAAACCACGAGCAGTAGAAGTCAACGCAAAAGGCCTCAGCCACGTGCATTGAAATAAGATACGTATCATTGCAATCATTTTATATTTAATGAATATATTAATTAATTAATAAATATATTACTTTGGATATTCCTAAAGACTTGTTACTAACAGAATTTTATTTCCCAGTTATTAACAAGAGATGTGCGAATAGTTTGACAAAGTTTTGCAAATTTTCAGAATTAAACTATTCCAAGGCTTCGAATCAAATAATTTTATTTCACTTCTTTTTTTGCATTTACCTATATAACAATCAAAATTTTATTTCGTCAAATTTCGGCCTTCTTTTCGATTTTATTTTTATTCTTCACGTCGAAGTTCACAACGTTTGTAATCAACGATTGATTTTGAAAAAAATGCTTTTTTACACAGAAAATAAAATTTTCCTTTTTAAAATGATTTTTTCAAAACAATTTTTCAAGGGAAAATTTTGAAAAATTTAGAAAAACATTTTTTTCCCTAATTGGTTGATCAATTTTCCTAAAATTTCCCCTTTGAACTAACTTTCAAATAAACGAAAAGCTTTTCTGTTCATGTATTTTCAAAAATTGTGATAAAAATACTTATTGTAAAAAGAATTTAATTCTAAGAGTTAATTTTTTAGTGTACAAAAAAAATGTTTTCTAATTAAATTGAAATTTAAACAAATTATCAAAATCAAAAATATTGATTCGTTCATTCGGGCCTTTAATTTTAGAACTATGTTGATTAGAAACGTTGTGAACGTTTTTCAGAAAAAAAAATTGAACAAATTGTTTCTGAAAAATATTTATTCTCGATAAATTTCGAATTTGGCACAAAATTTCTTTCTGCAAAAAAGGAAATAACTTTATGAACTTTTTAACATTAATCGAATTTACATTTCTGGAAAAAGAATTTTGATTGATTCGAAACAATCTCTGTTAATAACCGAAAATAGTCATAGGACAATCTTTAAAAATTAAATACACCAGTCTAATTTTATTTGTAAATCGTAGGGAGGGCCATATTTTCATTTCATCGTATCTAGTAGAATTTCATTAGTCCTAAAGACGAATATGTATATATCCATTTAGATATAGATAGGGGCTATTTTAAATAACGAAAACTAAGGCTATTTTCAATAAATGTTTATTCTTGATACATTGTTCTGCTGATATTTAAAATATTTTCAGTAATAAACTAATAGTTTAGGAAATTAGCGTTTAAATCTATTGTCGATACTGCTCAAAAGCGTACATACTTAAGAACTTGATTTTCTTCTTAAGAAAAAAAAAAAATGTTTCGTGTGAATGAATATTGAAAAAAGTTTAACTTTTTTCCAATGCTTTTCATTGCAATAAAAATACGGTTTATTTTTTTAAAAAATAATTATTTATATAACATATCAAGAAAAATCTTAAAAGACTTAAAAATAAATCAGAATATAACATTATTTTTCTATGATATTAAAAGTTTCGTAAAATTCTTACCGACCTACATACATGTATAAGTGCGTGAGTGGCAATTTTTTGAAATTAAAAAAAAGTTCTTTTGAATTTGAGCAGTAAGTCATTTGTATAATAAAGGGCATATTTGTTTGGATATGAAGTTTTGTTCATAAAAAATGTAAAATTAAGGAGCTATGTGTGCTCAAAAATAGTTTATGGCCCTCCTTAAAAAATTAAATTCTTGCAAACTGTTGTTTCGCCATCAGTAGTTGGAAAATTGCTACAAGAATATTAAAGATCTTAAAGTGCATAAATGTAAAAAAAAAAAAAAATAGTTGTAAGAAAAAATCGAAACTGGTGTATGAATTTTGGAAAATTGATAACAAAAAATGTAGGAATCTTGAGAAGGAAATGAAATGATTTAGAAAGTCCGTTCGATGTTGTAAAATGTGTTGTTTTTTCTGAACATTGTTAACTTCTGTTTGGAACTAAAATTATTTTTGCCCAATTAACATTTATTTGTCGTTAATATTAAGCCTAAATGAAAAATATCAAATACACTCTTCTAAAATGAGACAATGCTTTATAAGAATTTTTTTTTGGTGCTTGTCTGTAGTGAGCTTTTTAACAAATTTTCTCATCTTCATTCATTGTTCTCTGAAATGTCTATTAAACTCCATCACATTTGATATTTAAAATAATTTTATTTTACATATTTTAAAGAGCAATAATTTTAATTATTCTGAAGATATTTTAATTTTGTTTTTTTTTTGCTTTCGCTGTATAAATATGACAGTATTTATAATCCAGAAAATAGATTTTATTTTTAAGAAAATTTAATAATTTCTTTTTTATATTATTATTATCATCACTGAATCCGACTTAGAGGATTTTTTCTTCAATTTCACAAAAGTTGGATAGAATATGTAAAAAAAAAATAGAAAACAAATTCTCTGTATACTGTACGAATACTTAGATAAATTGCGAGAAACATGAATTAGCTTAAGATTAAGGAAAATTTTTTTCGAGTGCTAAAGAAAATTAAAGAAAAACGAACTAAGGTCGAATTTAGAAAAAAACATTTTTATTCACATTCTTTGTGTACAAACAAATGTTACTAAAAGAACATTTGTATGTGTAAAAAAAAATTATTAGTCAAAGAGCAGTGAATGTACGTTCATAAGATACACGAATTAAACATCATTTTAACATCACAATTTGTCATTAATGTATATTTGTTACACTTGCTGTTTATAACAATATAATTGCTGGACAAAAGTATATATATGTATGTAAGGTGAATATGAAAATATTGATAGTTTCTTTTTTTGTCGGCTTTTCCAAATTTGTTATTGATGGTTTCGTGAAACAAAAACCATCTAGTCTTGCCCGGTTTTATTACATTGAATGAAATGCAAATTCTACTATTTTCAGGATAAATTTAATTGGAAGTGATATAATTTATAATTATTTTTTCAAAATTGTAATAATTGATGATATTTTGTAATAAAAATTAATTAGTAATTAAAATTGTATTAATATTTATGGTTAGAAAAAAAATAAAAATTACTTTGATGAAAAATCGGGGTAATGGTACCAGTAAATTGTATATTTTTCAGTTTAATTAAAGAATCATTATTGTACTGCAAAAACTCCTGAATGTTCAAATCTACGAAACTTATTTTTTTCTTCTTCAAATTAAATTTTTATTACAATAATTTTTATTTGTCAAAAAAAAAAAAAATTAGTTAGAAAGTTTCTAAAATTTGTTTTTTAATTTTTATTCAAAGTTTTGAATTGCTTAATAATTATTTATTAATAAAATAAAAGAGAGTTTGTTTATTTGAACGTTCAAAATTTTTCGATTATGCAAAATTATTATGTACCTTTTTTAGGTACATTTTTTCTGTAGAATTATATTTCAATGTTTATCCGGTAAACAAAGCATTTATTATAGCGAGCGAATCATAGTTTGAAGTACATAATTATACAATTGAAAAATGATATTAGACGGCATCCGAAATGCGATAAAACATAAGTAGAAAAATATTATTTAGGTTAAAAGTGATTATACTTTTGAAAAAAGAAATATTTCTTGGTATTTGATCAAGAAAATGTGCATAATACTAAACTGTAGAATTTGCCTTAAGATATTTTAATATTTTCTATTTTTAGCTATTGTTTTAACATAATTTTGCTATACATTCCTTCACACTGTGAGTTTTAAAGAGAGGAAAAAAAAAGAGAAATTATTTTTGGCTTCTGATTATGTAAAATTTTTTATATTTTTTTTAACTCTGACCCCTTGAAACTCATGGAGAAAATATTTATAAATCAAAATTCCAAAATTGTAATTACTTGAAATTACTGAAAATTAAAATAATTTAAAATCAAAGAATTAATTTTTCTTAAATGTACTTTTATTGGTGCCTTTACCTTAGAATTTTTTAAATTTATGCGTTTATTCAATTATAAAAATTAGTTCAGATTTCAGAACATGTGATTTTATATTTATAGCTATTTGGACTTTTAAGTTTACCCGTTTAATTAATTGACATTCAATTCAAATAAGGTTTGTTTCATTTAATTATTTTTTTAAAAAAGATTTTTCTTCTATTATTTTTTAATATGACAGATTTTTTTTATTTTCCTAAAATTTTGCACTTTCAAATGAACGAGAATTTCTTTCCTATTTAAATATTTACAAAAAATATTTTAATGATATGAAAAAAATAAATTTTCCTAAAATGATCGTTGAAATGAATGAAATTTCTTTTGCTTAATTATTAAAAAAAAAATTAAAAACCGAAATGAACAAAAAAAGAAAAATAATTAAAATTAAAATTTATTTAGTCAAGATTTAACTTTTTTAATATAAAAAATAATTTTTTTCTTTTAGAAAATACAAATTAATGAAAGTAAGAAATGTCGTTCATTTGGAGATTGGAAAATTTTGCAAGATAAAAATAATGTAAATGAAACATTTAATTAGTTAAGAATTTTATCGAATTAGTTCGAAATTTTAGGTTTATATTTTTTTATTATTTTGTTGCTTCTAATTATTTGAATTGATTGAAAATTAATTGTTAATAGTGTAAGAAAAGATTCAAGTGATTTTTGATTATTATTTTTTTGAACGTCTGTAAGACATAAAAAAACCTGAAGAGGAAAAATTTAAAAATTAAGTGATTTTTAAATGGAATAAAGAAAAAGTTTTTCTCTTCAAATAATTTTTTTTAGAAATGTTTTATAGTATATTTTGATTGATTATTGTTTGTTGACACATGTTCTTAATTTTAATTGATGATAATCTTCTTTTCTATTTCGAAACGATTCAAAATAAAAAAAGCGAAAACAATCCTGATTATCTAAGTTTGTTACTAGTCGAATAGTTAAACGTAATTTCTAAAACTACGTATAAAATTTTTGTCGCATGCACTTTTGTCACTATGACAAAAATTGTAGAAAAAATTCATAAAAAAATCTAGAAAATGTTGTTGTAAACAATAATGTTTATTCTTATTAATCATTTGACAAGACAAGATGGCTTCAATATTCGAAACAAAGGAGCAAATTATTACATAAATAGTAAAAGAAGATTAGATAATAACGTTCATCTGTCTAATTTACTAACCATGTACACACATAGCTTTCGTTTCGTTAGAATATAAACATTAGTGATTATAATTACTTCATTATTGATAAAATGAAGTTCTCTAGGTGCGGATATTTTCTTACCACTTTTTCAAACTTTTTACAAAAATCTTCTTTTGTATTTAACAATTATACTATACTTAGGCACAAGGAATGCGATAATTTTTATTTCAAATGTTAATTTTTTTTCGAGAGTGTGAAAAGTCGAATATTCTGAGTAAGAAATAAGATTTCTTTTTAGCTGACAAAAATTAATTGATACACGTGCTAAATAAAGTATACTCTATGTGTTTTGTGTATAAGAAAAAACGTTTTACTTTCGCAAGAACAAGAGTGAAGAGGAATAAGAACTGTACAGCTGAGAAAAAAAAACATATTTGTCAGAAGCTATAATATGTAATAATAAGCAATCATCATAATGGATCATTATAGTTTGTAAACAAATTAAAAGTAGTTTTAATTTTTAAGGAATGATGAAGGATCCAAGAGACAAACAAAATTCATGATTCTCAAGAATGTCTGATTTTATACGCACGTTATATGTAAATATAATATATAAATAAAATACATTATGCATAATGTACAACAGGAATGAGTTCATTATTTTCAAACTTTTTTTTTCTTTTTTCAAACTTATTAATATAATTTATTAATTTTCATAAAAACTATATTTTTTGTTTATTTTCCAACTCACAAATAAAACAGATTTTTTTTTGTGTAATACAATTTTTTTATTCATATTGGCATAGGTCCAAACAGTTTTCAATAAAATTTTGAATTCTGACAATAAAGTCTCAGCATATAAATCATTAGTGCAAAGACTGCAAATCCCATATTTATAACTTGGAAGAAAATTGTAGGAAACTACTTCTAGTGTAGTAAAAAAAATATAGCTGTATACAATTAATAATTTTATGCGAATTAATTGTATTTTTAATTTAAGTCAATAGAGACTATTTGAATCAATGTTGGTTATTGGATCATCAATGATATTTTCTAATTAAACAGTCACGGTTTTTGTTTGATTGAACGAAATTGAATTTTAAACTTATATTTTATCGCTCGGCAGTGCGATAATAAATTTTAACAATGAAATAAGGAAACAGTTGTTATCTAATAAAAGACACGTTGCTATACTTTGTTGTAGAAAATATTAAAAAGCACTTTCACCGTGAGAATAATGAGAGTATAATAAATGGAAAAATATAAAGTGAAAGAGGGAGATATATATAGAGTTTGAGGAGAAAGTTATTGTTAATTATGTAAGTGGTATAGAAATTTATAAAAAATATAGACTAATAATAGCAATAATGCGAAATATAATAATATACAAATCTACAAAAATAGAATATATTATTATAATATATATAATAAACATACATTAAATGGCGGAGAAAAATATAAATAGTGATTTTTATACTAGTAAAATTTAAAATGTGTGCCATTTCTGCGAATCTCCGGTAATTTTTTCTAATTTCAGGAGTAAAGTTTTCTACGTTCGTATAGTACAATTTATTAATTTTTAATGAAATTTACTTTGAAAATAATCAAATTTACTCTGTAAATAGTAAAAATTGTTGAAAATGAGCAGAAATTTAAGACAATTCAAATTTTGTAATGAAATCAATTAAAGCTACAATATAGAGTTACTACAAAAATTCTGATTTTAAATTGAGAAAAGTTTGCTAAATTTGGAACCTTGAATTTAACTTTAAATCCAATTAAAATTTTTAATAGATAATTAGTTAACTTTAAAAAGAGATAAGCTAGAAATCCTTTAAAACAATTGAAATTCTGAAAAATTAGGTTTTTCAAATATTTTAGTTCTATTTTTTTTAAAGATAATTATATAAATTTATATACACTAATAATTAAAATTTTTGAAACTTCCTAAACATCTAATTAAATTCAGTGAATTTTGAAAAGAATTTTATGGAAATAGTTCAAAATAATCAAGGAAAGTTCGCCACAATAGTTTTTTTTAAATATTGCAGTTCCTTTTTTAAACATCATTAAATTTTCCTAAACAATTAATTGAAATTTTTCAAATAATTGAAATTATATGAACTTTCATTAAGAGGAAATGAATGTTTTTTAAATATTTCATTAAAACTGTTAAAAATAATCGAATAAAGTACATCATGCAATAATTTATAAAAAAAAATTTCAATTCTATTTTTCTGCAGATAATTGAATTTTTGAAAATAAGTTATTATTAAAACTTTTAAAACAATTCAAATTCCCTAAATTTCTATTTAAAATAATTGAATTTTTATAAATAAATAATTGAAATATTTGGAATAATTAAAACTTTCTAAAATTCTAGTAAAAATTATTTTTTTTTATAATTGAATTTTACTTGAATTTTTTTATAGGGATCAACAAACTTTGTCACATTAACCTTATAAAATTTTTCAATTCTATTTTTAAATGATAAATTAATTTTTATAAACTAATAATTGAAAATTTTGATATAATTGAAATTTGCTAAAATTTTGTTGAAAATAATTAAATTTTTTAAGAATTTTATTTAAATTCTTGAAAATAATCATGGAAAGTTTAAAGCACAATAACTTTTTAAAATATTTCAATTCTATTTTTTTTACAGATAATTGAATTTTCGTAAATAAGTTATTGAAACTTTTTAAATAATTTAAATTTCCTATAGTTCTTTTTAAAAGAATTGAAATTTAAATGATAATTGAAATTTTTTAAATAAATAATTGAAATTTTTTGAATAATTAAAACTTTTTGTAATTTTATTAAAAATTATTTTTTTTATAATTGAATTCTACTTGAATTTATTTACAACGTACTTCGACACATTAACCTTTTTAAATATTTTCATTCTGTTTTTCAATGATAAATTAATTTTTGTAAACTAATAATTAAAAATTTTTAATTGAAAGCTAAAATTTTGTTGAAAATAATTAAATTTTTTAAGAATTTAAATAAAATTCTTGAAAATAATCGAGGAAAGTTTGATGGCAGAAAAACTTTGTAAAAAATTTCAATTATATTTTTTTACAGATAATTGAATTTTTGTAAATAAGTTATTAAAATTTTTGAAATAATTGAAATTTTCTAAAATTCTATTTAAAATAATTGAATTTTTAAATGATAATTGAAATTTTTCGAATAATTGAAACTTTCTGAAATTCTATTAAAAACTCTTTTTTTTATAATTAAATTCTACTTGAATTTTTTATAGAGATCAACAAACTTTGTTACATTAACCTTTTAAAATATTTCAATTCTATTTTTAAATGATAAATTAATTTTAATAAACTAATAATTGAAAAGTTGGAAATATGTAATTGAAATTTCCTAAAATTGAATTTTTTAAGAATTTTATTTAAATTCTTGAAAATAATCCAGGAAAATTTGGTACAATAACTTTTTAAAATATTTCAATTATATTTTTTTAAAGATAATTGAATTTTTATAAAACTAATTGATATTTTTTAAAATTCTATTCGAAACAATTATTTAACTCTGGGAAAATTATAAATTTGTTCTCTTGGCCTTTCTTATCAGGTGCACCTACAAGTAATTGAGACTTAAATAAAAATTTCCTGAATTCAAATAAATTATATGTTTGATTTAAAGAAAAATAAAAATTTCTTTCGGAGCAAGTACTACAGACATCCTGGTTAAATAATATCAGGAAGTAAAGGGTTTATTATATAATAGATAAATAAGCCTCAGTAAGACATATTACGAAACTACTTTCTCCTTTCTTTCACCCGTATTTTGAAAAATTGAACAATTGCTATCAGAGTTAATAGAAATTTTTTTATACACATTTTTGGTTCAAAAAAAGTCATTTCTTTTTTCAAGTCCAATAAAAGATTTATATAAATTTATTTATATTCAAAAAGACATTTAGTGAAGAAATATGTAAACTGTCATTCATCGTCTTTTACAGAAAATACAAAAAAACCAGCAATATTTTTTTTAAAACAACATTTTATTGTAAATTGAGTAAATTTGATAAATTTAGTGTGAATTAAATAAAATTATTAGTGTAAATTAAATAAATTTGTGAAAAAAAATATTTACCTAAATAAATAAAGAGTAAGAGTAAAGTAAAGAGAATATCACCGAATAGTGATTAAAATCGAGTTAAAAATTTTTTTTGCGAATTTTCAATAAATATATATTAAGTAAGATATGAAATAATTTAATGAATTTGGAGGAGAGGCAAAAGAAAGGAAACGCGGTAGTTGCAATAGCAAGTAAATAAGCCAGGGTCTCGGTGAAAGACAGCAACCGACCACGACAACTGCAACGTGACTTGAAAACCACGTGACTCTTTTAGCCAATGAAAATGGTTTTGGAATCCGTGGTCACGTTGCACTCGGTGTGGATCGACCCCCTCCCTCACCCCGCACTTTTCCGTTTTTGCCCCCCTAACACTAGCTTCAAGGTGTATTTGAGTATATTGCCATTTCTGCGATCAGTAGTTTCTTGCCTAAATCAACGATTTATCAGTGAGAGTCTTTTAATTTTATTGTTACATCAATTACATCATACATGTGGGATCAGTGATCGTTCAAATTCCCGGGCAAAGTGAATCCAGAAGTTCGAAGCGCCCAGTGCGCTTCACTTCTACTTGACAATTATAATATTCTTTAAAACATTTTTTCCTCAATTAAAACAAAGTATTTTTTCTATTTTTTTTACCATCGTTGATATTTTACGACAATTTTTTTTTAATTAAAAAGAAGACTTGTTTTTTCTTCAAAAACTTTTTTGGAAAAATTTTTATTTTCTGAAGTAAAAAAGTGACAGTGAAGAGAAATATTAATGAACCTTTTTTTTTGAAAAGAAGACTTGGATTATTCGCAATTTTTTTTTAGGTTTTTATATTTAATGTTTGCTGTTTGATGAAGATTCTAAAACATCATATGAATTTTTTCGCGGAGGATAATTGTTGTAAGTGTATTTTGAAATGAAATATGTGATTGTGTGTGAGTGTGTGTGTTGTTTTTTGTTAAGAAAAATTGTTGTCGGTTCAATTCAACTCTATGGATAGGGATCAATTTTCTCAAGTGATGTTTACTTTAAAAATACTTTCGTATTGCAACAATAATATTTTTATAAAATTAACAACAATTCCTACCAAACTATTTATTACATTATTAAAATTTTTAAAAGCCAGAAAATCTTTGGTAATAAGATGTTTTTGGTTTGTTTGTCTATTAGGCCAACCAAACCAAAAACATCTTATTACCAAACTTTATTTACTGTTTCTTAAATTTAAACTTTTTATTTAAACTATTTTTTTCCAATTTTATTAATTTACACCAAGAAAAAAATTTTATTTGAACTAAATTTAAGTTAAATAAAATATATTTGTCACATAGTCTACTAAATTATTAACTTACACTGGACAAATAATTATTTGATTCAAATGAACAATTACTTATTTTGTTGCCCAACCAATGAAAGCCAATTCTTATAGGATTTTGTCCGTAGAATCCGAATTTGACCTTGAAAATATTGGATGGGCTCTAGTTTTCAAGCAATTTACGTTCCAATACGCAAATTACGCATTTTTGGCATATTTTAAATGAATGTAAAACCAAATATCGAAACAGTAAATCTGTCCGCATAGGACCAAATTAAAGCTTAAATACTGCTCTTTAATATCCAAAAACAAAAAATTTAATTTATAAACGCTTTAACCTTTAATGTCCAATGGAACATACGCTGTTTCATAAACGTATTAAAAATAACATTACTTTTCACCAGGTAAGACAAATTAAGTAAAAATTAGTCTCTCTGGGGGTATTTGTAGACGCTGCTTAGAAATCTGTATTCAGATTTTAATATTCAAAATGGCGCATTCAATATGGAGAATTTTTTTTTATTTGTCATTTTTATCATAAAGGTGTAAACTATTTTTAAAAATTAGTCCGTAATTTTTAATTTTTATATTTCATAGCAGATTTATAAGCAGCGACCACAAAAACCTCCAGAGATACTAATTTTTACTTAAATTGCCTTACCTGATCAAAAGTAATGTTATTTTCAATACGTTTATGGAACAGCGTATGTCCCATTGGACATTAAAGGTTAAATTGTTTTTAATTTAATTTTTTTGTTTTTGGATATTAAAGAGCGGTATTTAAGCTTTAATTTGGTCCTATGCGGACAAATTTACTATTTCGGTATTTGGTTTTACATTCATTCAAAAAATGCCAAAAATGCGTATTTTGCGTATTGAAACGTAAGTTGCTTGAAAACTAGAGCCAATCCAATATTTTCAAGGTCAAATTTGGATTCTACGGACAAAATCCTATAAGAATCGGCAATAACATTTTAGGCAACATGCAATTAATGAAATTTTGTCGGCCTGTGTTATCAAATAAATATTTACTTTCACTTAATAATTTTTATTTTTACTTGAGGAAATTAAATTGACTTTTCGCTAATTAAATTTACTATTTATTTATTATTATTTATTATATTATTATTTACTATTATTTACTTTCTAAAAGGGGTAAATTTCTCCTTCGCTTTAATTTTTGAATGGCATTTAATTTTAATTAAACATAAAATAATTAACATTTATTCAGAAAGTGTTTTTTTTTAATTTTAACTTGTATTAAAACTTAAATATTCTTATTAGTATATATAGGAATAGTGAGATATAGTTATTAATCTTTAATGGAATTTCTTATAAGTTTTGAAAATCTTATATGAAATGTTATATTAAAAACTTTAAGAATCTTTCAGTGCGGTTTGAAATCTTTTCCACAAACTTCTGTTGTTTTCTGTGTTCGATATTTACTCTAAACTTACTTCATAAATACTGTCATAAATCATTTCTTCGGAATTTTAATATAATTTTTGAAAAAAGGAATAAAGAATAAGTTTCAGGAAAATTTACTCTTAATTTTCCGAATGAGAAAGCAAAGATAATTTAACAAAAAATCTTTACATAAATATATTAATAATAAAAATAATAATGACAATAATAATAATAATAAATAATAATAAAAATAAAAAATAATAAAAATAATGAATTATAAAAATAATAAATAATAATATTTGTCTCTATTCACACTTTTTCAAATTAGAAATTCTATTATAGAATTTTTTTTACAGAAAAATATTTTTTTCTAATTATTTTTTAATAAATTGTTGCTTAAGTGTACATTAATTGATTATTATTACTTATAGTTAAATGAATTAATTATATTTCTACTCCTGCTATCTTTCACGTGGTCAGACACGTGTGTGTTGAAAGTTTACAGGGGAGAGAAAGCAAAAATCCTTAAATACTTTTATATATTTATATATACTGGACTTTATGAACTTTTTAGTTTTTATAGGTTCAAAGAACTTTAAGTAGTTTTATGAAAAAAGTATTTTGTGTGAGAAAACTTTATCGCATTTTTTTCTGAAAAAAGCTTATTCGACCTGATTTTAATTTTAATTTTTTTATTCGGAAAATAAAAATTTGATATATTGGCACATTTTTAAAAGTAAACAGAAAAAAATTAAACGAGCCAGACTGCAACTGATTCTTCTTTTTTGTTTGTTTTGTGTACTCGCATTTATTTGATTTTTTATGCGTGTCCACAATTTCGAACGATTGAATGAACGAAATTTATTTCTTTTGGAAATTCAAACCTTTTTTTTTCTAAAAAAGAAAAAAAAAATTATTTCTTTTGTAAATTCAAAACTTTTTTTCTGAAAAAAAAAATTTATTTCATTTGGAAATTAAAAATTTATTCTAATAATATTACGTGTCGTATTAAAATATAAATTTTATTAAACTATATATTGAAACGTCGTCTAGTTAGAAAAAAAATGAAAGACTGTATTTTCTTTTCACCTTTTTATTTTTCTAAAATCGAAAAAAGAATTTATTATTTATATATTGAAAAAATATTTCTGATAAAAAATCAGACTCCAAAAATTTGTAAAGTTCAAAAACTTTCCAAATTTCTGGGGTCTGATTTTTTATTTATGATTTATATTTCATTGTAAAAATTAATATTACTTTCAGTTGACTTTTGAAAAAAAATTTTTAATTTCTGAAGAAATGAAAAAAATGGAAAAATTTTTGCGCCAGTATTAACATATTTTTTGTATTAAAATTTTCTGCTATCGTGTTTTCCAAAGCGAATGATGGTTTTCATTAAATGTTTGAAAAGTTTGAGTGTCATTTTATGGTAATTAAAGTTGCTCCATATTACATATGGATATGTTAATTTTCCCTGGACGATGGAGACGAAAGGACGCGAATGCATTCATTTTCTGTGTGCAGGTTTTCAGCGGTGCCAGCGGTGCCAGCGGGACTGTTGATTCTCGCTTATCCGACGTGTTAGCCAGATTTTCATCTGTAATATATAATATAAACCATATAATATTCACTCTATTTTGTACCTACCTGCTCTGCTCATATACATGTACGAAAATTCCAGAAAATACAAAACACGAGAAAATGCTAATTTTACATGGTAAAAATGGGAATAACAGGCATCACAGTTGGTCCCCTTTTCCCCTTTTATCCCCTTATTTCAATTTTACCACTTTTTTTTTAACCATTTTTGACGATTTGTCACCTTTTTTCCTAATTTTGTTGATTTGTCCCCTTTTTCACCTTTTTTTAATCAAAAATAAACAAGTTTTTCTTTTTTCAAAATCATTTTCAAAGTGTAATCATAAAATTTAGACTCAATGTTATAGAATTCAGTGAGTTTTATAAAAAAAAAATTATTTAAATAAATCTAAATCAAATGATTTAGATTATTAATACCACAACATAATATAAATATTTTTTTTATGTTAATAATTTAAATAATATCGATAACGTAAAGAATTTTATAAATTATAAGGTGGTTCATTTAACAAAATGCAGACCTATAGAAAAATAATCAATTATCATTCAAATAATTAAAATATTATTATTAATAATAATAATAATAATGAATTTCATTAGAAATTCTAAAGAACTTAAATTTTTGAAAAAACTTTCAAAATTTAAATTATTCTGAAATTATTAGTTCAATTTTTTAATATTTATATTTAATTAATTATTGAAAATAATTAATTTATCAAGGAATTTTAGTAAGAAACACTAAAAAAATTTTGATTTCAATTATTTTCAAAAATTTTAATGAAATTCTGGACAAAATTTCAATTATTTGCAAAAAATTTCCTAAATTGAATGATTTTCAATATCTACCTACTATTTTAATAAAATTTTCCGAAAAAATTCAATTATTTAAAAAGAAATATTATAAATCTACGCAAACTTTTAATTATTTTCATAAATAATAAAATAATTTCACAGGAATTCTATTATTTACAAATTTTTTTAAAAATTTCTTGTCAATGATTAAATTATTTTCATAAATAAGAAAACTCATCGCAGAATTTCAATTATTTTCAAGTAGAATTTGAATCAAATACCTTGAAAAATGTAATTATTTTTAAAAATTTTATTAAAATCCGTTAAAAGAATTCAATTATTTAAAAATGTGTTGATAAAAATCTCCAAAAGAGTTTAATTATTTAAAAAAAAGTTTGATAAATAAATCATTTTCATAAATAATAAAAATTTCATAAGAATTTCATAATTTATTTACAAATTTTTCATAAATTTCTTCGTAATAATTCAATTATTTTCATAATTAACAAAAGTTTTTACGATTCAATTATTTTCATAATTGATTGTATATTAAATTGTATAAAAAATTTTCAAAGGAATTCAATTATTTAAATTAAAATTTTAATAAATTTTTACGCAAACATTTTAATTATTTTTATAGAAAAATAAAAATTTCACATGAAATCAATTTTAAGAAACATTCAATTACTCAAAAAATTATTTATTTTTGCATTTAAATAATTTTAATTCTCGTTGAATATTCTATTAAAAATTGATTTAAAAGTGAATTTTAGTTAAAATTTTACATAATAATTGAATATTAAAAGCATTAATTATAGTATAAATTTTCAGAAATAATTGAATTTATAAAAAAGTTTCAAAATTAAAATCTTTGAAAATCCTAATTTTTCCTACTTTTAACTGACAATTCTGTAGAATTAATTTTTTTCAAAAAGTTTAATTAAAATTATTCGAAGTTTTTATTTTCTAATATACTATAGGTATTTAATTGAAGAATTTTCGAATAATCGAAATTTTTAGTACAATTGAATTGTAAACAAATTAATTTTTAAAATTTCTCAGAATTTTTTTAAAAATTATTATAAATATATTTGATTTAAAGAAGAATTTTAGTTAAAAATAATTTCTTGATCAAAATTAATTATTTTTAAAAGTTTAACAAAATTTATTGAGAAAATTCAATTATTTTTAAAAGTTTAACAAAATTTGTTGAGAAAATTAAATTATTTTTAAAAGTTTAACAAAATTTGTTGAGACAATTCAATTATTTTTAAAAGTTTAACAAAATTTATTGAGAAAATTCAATTTTTAAAAGTTTAACAAAATTTGTTCAGAAAATCCAATTATTTTTAAAAGTTTAAAAAAATTTGTTGAGAGAATTCAATTATTTTTAAAGATTTTGATAAACTCTTTAGAAGAATTCAATTATTTTCAGTTTAATTAAATTCCTCGAAAGAACTTTAATTTTCTTCGAAATAATTAAATTTTTATTTTTGCAAATTTTACTATTTTTTAATTTTGTCTATTATTTTTATAAATAATAATATTTTCATAAGAATTGAATTATTTAATTAATTTAATTTCAATTATTTTTATTACAATTTTAAATGAATTCTTCGAAAAATGCAATTATTGTTGTAAGTTTTATTAAAATTCTTCTGAAAGTATAAGCAAATAAATTTTTTTGTTCCCTTTTTGTACCCTTTTTGAGGAAAAAAGGTACTGTGATGCCTGGAATAAATATAGGTATAATTCAGTTAAAGAAATAAAAAAAAAATATTTATGATTGCAATCATCTTTTAACAAGGTCTAAAATCTTATTTATTATTTTTGACTAAAAAATCTGTCTTTGTTTCAGTTTTACACTTTATTTAAGAGAAAGAGAAATTATGGACATGTCGAAAAATATTTATTCAATTTAAAAGAAAAATTGAAGCAAATACTGTCCGAGGTCAGAATTTAAGAGAAGAAATGATGTGAATTTCCATAGTAAAAGAAGATGTAATTTCCAATATGAAGAAATCAATATAAAAATAAAGTAAAGAAAAAATTGTATTTGAGTATATTTTTGTTAATGTCTTTAAAGGTAAAATGATGACATTATTTTTGCATTGTAAAGTTGTCGGTCAAGTGGTCGAGAAATGACCGGAAGTAGAAGTAGCGATCTAGGAACTGGAGCAATAAAAATACAGAAAGATGGCCACAAGCATACGGTTCATTGGTTCAGAAAAGGGTTGAGACTCCACGATAACCCTTCCTTTCGAGAAGGCCTCATCGGTGCTTCCACCTTTCGATGTGTCTTTGTGCTCGATCCTTGGTTCGCGGGAAGCACCAATGTCAGCATCAATAAATGGAGGTAATACTAAAATTTAAAAATCCATTCCTGTTCACTTTAAATATTGCCGGAGAATTTTTTGCAGATTTCTACTGCAATGCTTAGAGGATCTGGACCGCTCGCTAAGGAAGTTGAACTCTCGACTTTTCGTCATTAGAGGTCAACCGGCGGACGCGTTGCCCAAATTATTTAAGGAATGGGGAACGACGAACCTCACATTCGAGGAAGATCCTGAGCCATTCGGCCGTGTAAGGGACCACAACATCTCGGCTATTTGTAAGGAGCTCGGCATCTCAGTCATTCACAAGGCCTCGCACACTCTCTACAAATTGGAGGAGTGAGTCCAAGGACAATCAAATTTTACAAACTAATATTCAAGTCCCTTTTCTAGTTACTACTACGGCACGGCGGCGGCGGCGGCGGCAATTTAGTTAAATATCAAAATAGTTATATACGTATAGGTTACCTTGGATATAAGGGGATTTCAAACTTTATAAAGAGATTTCGGAGGATGTGTTACTTCTGGCACGTTAAGAACGTTGTTTCATATTATAACGGAACAGGCGATTATCCACGAATTATATGTATCACACGTGTACATTTGTGTTTCTCTACTTGCGTCTAAACTTCTTTATCCTGATTTTGCACTTGACGCATTAATCGATCGCGCGCACCTGGCAAACATTATTTTTTCAACTAAATATTTCTTTTTCTTGTACTTTTCTTTATTGTTCCAACTTGAATTTGCGAATTAGATCGCAAAATTTTATTAAGTTTAAATCTTCTATTCTACAAAATGGCTACTTTAAAAAAAGCCACTGCAAAATTAAAACAAAATCTTTTTTGTTTATTTCACACGGAACGAAGTTTCACCTTTATTAAATTTTATTTATATACAAGAATTAATTTTTTAAAAATAGGTTGCCACAGTTCATGACATTCAGGGAAAAGTCACAAAAAGTAGAATTGGTCAAGGAACTCAGACGATTTCATTAAAATTGTCAAAAAAAATTATATTTTTAGAATTCATAAGAAAATTTTGAATTTTGGTGTCTTTTTTGTTTGTCTCATAAACTATGAAATTTACACGAATTCTAATACAAAACAATCCATTTTTTCTATTTCTGATAATAAATTCTTTTTAAATAACTTTTAATACTTAAAGAACTGTCAAAAAATTCTATACAATTTTTATAAATAGATGAACTTCAAAATGTTAAAATTTAAAATTTTAGAAAATTTCAATTTTTCATTAATTTAATTAGAAAGAACTTAGATTATTGCTAAAAATTTTAATAATTAAAATTCTTCTGAAATTAGTCAAATTTTTTAATATACATATTAAATTAATTATTTTAAATAATGCATTAATAGAAGTATTTAAGTTAAATACACTAAAAATTAAATTTCGGGGAATTTACAAATAATTACAGAAATTCAATTATTTTATAAAGTAATAAAATTTATTTTTGCCTAAAATTTAAGAACAAAAGACGAAAAACTCATTTTATTAAAAATTGACAAAAATACCAAAGTTTGGTTTGAAAAAAGTCAACTATCGTACTTTTTTGGAAAAAAGTCGATAACTTTTTTGGTTTTTGTGCTACAGTAAAGTGTCTAAAGGAAAAGTTGTTTGTCTTTGCCTCAAATTTAGGGAAAAAGCCAGAAAAACTCATTTTATTAAAAATTGACAAAAATAACAAAGTTTGAAATTTTCAAACTCTGAAAAAAGTCGATAACTTTTTTGATTTTTGTTCTACAGCAAAGTGTCTAAAGGAAAAGTTGTTTGTTTTTGCCTCAAATTTAATGAAAAAGGCAGAAAAACTCATTTTATTAAAAATTGACAAAAATAACAAAGTTTGAAATTTTCAAACTTTGAAAAAAGTCAACTTTCGTACTTTTTTGGAAAAATGTCGATAACTTTTTTGGTTTTTGTGCTACAGAAAAGTGTCTAAAGGAAAATTTGTTTGTTTTTGCCTCAAATTTAAGGAAAAAGCCAGAAAAACTCATTTTATTAAAAATAAACAAATATAACAAAGTTTGAAGTTTTGAAACTTTGAAAAAAGTCAACTTTCGTACTTTTTTGGAAAAATGTCGATAACTTTTTTGATTTTTGTTCTACAGCAAAGTGTCTAAAGGAAAAGTTGTTTGTTTTTGCCTCAAATTTAAGGAAAAAGCCAGAAAAACTCATTTTATTAAAAATTGACAAAAATAACAAAGTTTGAAATTTTCAAACTTTGAAAAAAGTCAACTTTCGTACTTTTTTGGAAAAATGTCGTTAACTTTTTTGGTTTTTGTGCTACAGAAAAGTGTCTAAAGAAAAATTTGTTTGTCTTTGCCTCAAATTTAAGGAAGAAGCCAGAAAAACTCATTTTATTAAAAATTGACAAAAATAACAAAGTTTGAAATTTTCAAACTTTGAAAAAAGTCAACTTTCGTACTTTTTTGGAAAAATGTCGTTAACTTTTTTGGTTTTTGTGCTACAGAAAAGTGTCTAAAGAAAAATTTGTTTGTCTTTGCCTCAAATTTAAGGAAGAAGCCAGAAAAACTCATTTTATTAAAAATTGACAAAAATAATAAAGTTTGAAATTTTCAAACTTTGAAAAAAGTCAACTTTCGTACTTTTTTGGAAAAATATCGATAACTTTTTTGGTTTTTGTGCTACAGAAAAGTGTCTAAAGAAAAATTTGTTTGTCTTTGCCTCAAATTTAGGAAAAAAGCCAGAAGAACTCATTTTATTAAAAATTGACAAAAATAACAAACTTTGAAATTTTCAAACTTTGAAAAAAGTCTACTTTTGTTGTTTTTTGGAAAAATGTCGATAACTTTTTTGGTTTTTGTGCTACAGAAAAGTGTCTAAAGGAAAAGTTGTTTGTTTTTGCCTCAAATTTATAGAGAAAGCCAGAAAAACTCATTTTATTAAAAATTGACAAAAATAACAAAGTTTGAAATTTTCAAACTTTGAAAAAAGTCAACTTTCGTACTTTTTTGGAAAAATGTCGATAACTTTTTTGGTTTTTGTGCTACAGAAAAGTGTCTAAAGAAAAATTTGTTTGTTTTTGCCTCAAATTTATAGAGAAAGCCAGAAAAACTCATTTTATTAAAAATTGACAAAAATAACAAAGTTTGAAATTTTCAAACTTTGAAAAAAGTCAACTTTCGTACTTTTTTGGAAAAATGTCGATAACTTTTTTGGTTTTTGTGCTACAGAAAAGTGTCTAAAGAAAAATTTGTTTGTCTTTGCCTCAAATTTAGGAAAAAAGCCAGAAGAATTCATTTTATTAAAAATTGACAAAAATAACAAAGTTTGAAATTTTCAAACTTTGAAAAAAGTCAACTTTCGTACTTTTTTGGAAAAATGTCGATAACTTTTTTGGTTTTTGTTCTACAGAAAAGTGTCTAAAGGATAAGACATTATTTAAGAATTTGTTGATAAATTTCTTTATTAAAATTCAACTTTAATAAATATTATATTATTCAATGAATTATCTATTTGTGCATTTAAATAATTGTATTTTTATTGAATTTTCTATTAAAAATTGATTTAAAAATTAATTTTAGGTAAAATTTTATATACGAATTGAATATTAAAACATTTTAGTGTGAATTTTAAGAAATAATTTAATTTTGAAATTAATTTTTTTTTAAAAGTGTAATTAAATTTTTTTTATTGTATTTGCAGTATTTTAAACAAATTTTCCAATGAATTCAATTATTATAAAAACATGTAATGAAATTGTACGCAAACATTTAATTTCTTTGCAATAATTGAATTATTTTCATAAATAATAATTTCACTGGAGAATTCCAATTATTTGAAATGCAATTTTAATCAAATCTAATTTTTTAATAAAATTCTCTAAAGAATTAAATTATTTAAAAAAATTAAATAAAATTTTTCGCAAGTATGTAAATGTTTTCATAGGTAATAAAAATTTCGAAGGAATTCAATTCTTTATAAATTTTTTATAAATTTCTTGGCAATAATTCAATTATTTTCATAAATAATAAAATTCATTGATGAATTTTAATTATTTTTAATACAATAATTGTAATCAAAAAACCTCGAAAAATTACAATTCCCAAAAATTTTATTAATATACGTCGAAAAAATTCAATTATTAAAAAATTATTGATAAAATTTTTGATGAGAATTCAATTTTTGAAAAACATTCAATTATTTATTTTTGTATTTAAATAATTGAATTCTCGTAGAATTTTCTAATAGAAATTGATTTAAAAATTAATTTTAGATAATAATTAAATATTTAAAGCATTTTAGTGTAAATTTATAGAAATAATTTAATTTTGAAATTATTTCAAATTAAATATTTGAAAATATGAAGTTTTGTTAATTTTTACTGACAATTCTGTAGGAATTAATTTTTTTGAACCAGTTTAATTAAATTGTTTTGAAAATTGTTTGAAGTAGAAACTATTATTGATGTTTTCGAACAATTTTAAAAGTAAAGAAATTCAGGGAAAAAATGAAAATCAGTCAAAAAGGTCTGAAATTAGGGAAAAACAAATTTTTTCTTGGCAACCTTGATAAAAAACAATATTTTCGTATAATAAAATTCAAACTTGAAAGAAAGTAACAAGAAACATTGTCATTCATTTTGAATGATTATGACGCTGTGAAAACTTTAGGGACATGCGGATAAGAAACTTTGAAAACTTAGGAAACAACTTTTTTTGCTCAAGATAATTCCTGCGAGAAATTTATTAGTAGATATATATATTATCATTGTTTTAATATTACGTAATTATATTTGCTATATATATAAATTGCAGTGAATTATTTTTTAATTTCCAGGCAAGAAACTTATTTACTGTTGATTGAGATTTTATTTTATGAAAATTAATCGAAAATATCGATTAAAGTCCCTCCTAAGCGCTCGAGAGTTGTTTATGTGTTGGTGAACCTTAATTACAAACTTCCTTCTATCTGAGTCTGACTTCCCATTAAACTGTACATAACGTGTTGCCATCGCTATGTGTATATTTCTCTGTATGTGCATTTAAATTATTTGTAGGTATTGCAAAACGCACATATATCATAGATCATAATTAATTAGGAAACAAACCGTATTCCAAATGAATAACGATTTATCAAAAACTTGATAAGTTCTATAAAGTTTAATGATCAAATAGTTCATATAATAAGAATATATTCTTCGATCTTCCTTTTGAAATTGCATTCTTGTACGTTTTAATTAAAAAAAATTATAATTAAATGAAATTAAGTAAAAATTAAAAAATCAAAGTTCAAAAGTATCACTTTCAGAAAAATCACATGAACGTTCAAATGAACAAAATTTATTTATTTCTTCTTCAAATTAAATTTTTATTACTATAATTTTGCGTTACTATCAAACGAATTAATTATCAAGTTTTTAAATGTAAAATTTGAATTTTTAATTTTAATTGTAATCAGTAATCTATGAAAATATTTGTATTAAAAAATATTTCGTTCATTTGAACGTTCAAACCTTTTTTGTTCATAAAATCACCCTATAGAGAAAATGTCTGAATAAATATGAGAAAAACACTTTTCTAGGATAATCGAAAAAAATATAGGAAAGACACCTTTAACCTACCATCAGTTTCAAAATGTTATCGCCAGTATGGACCCTCCCGAGCTGCCGGCTCCGACAGTAACTTTGACATGCATTGGAAATGCTTTTACCCCCCTGAAAGAGGATCATGATGACCAGTATGGAGTGCCTACTCTCGAGGAACTTGGTAATGCCATAAATTTAAATTCAGGCGTTCGTTTTGAATAAGAAAAGAAATATCAAGTATGCGAATTATGAAATAAAAAAAATTAAACATTTTCAAAAAAGCATCCTCAGAGTATATTTATAAACAGAGTAAGTTTGGGAAGAGAAATTAAAATTTAAGAATGGTACAATTTTTTCTTAGGTTTCGACATTACGGGTCTTTTGCCTCCAGTGTGGATAGGCGGAGAGAGTGAAGCTCTTGCTCGCCTAGAACGGCATCTTGAGAGGAAGGCCTGGGTGGCGAGTTTCGGTCGTCCTAAAATGACTCCCCAGTCACTGCTAGCAAGTCAAACTGGACTTTCTCCCTATCTACGATTCGGTTGCCTTAGCACAAGACTTTTCTACTATCAATTAACTGATCTTTACAAAAAAGTAATTTTCCTACTCGTATATTAATTTAGTTCCCCTCTAAATCTGAATTGAGGCTCCGGATCTTAAAAGGGCACTTTTCTCATATACTTTACATGGTGAAAGTGCCCTTTTAAGATCCGGAGCCTCAATTAGCGAAATTTCACTATTTTTTTTTATACGGAGAAAAATGTAAAGTAACTTTTACTACTTTTATAGTAAAAAATTTCTGGTAAAGTATTTCTGCACAGAAAAAACGATAATCTAATTTTAAGAAGCACCTACTTAAATAGGAGCCAAGAATATATTATATGTTTGTAAAAATTAGTAAAATTTACTTCGAACGTAGTAAAATTTACTCCGAAAGTAGTAAAAGTTACCAGAAATGTTTGACTATAAAAGTAGTAAAAGTTACTTTATTATATTTTCCTCCGTGTACTTTTTCAGATTTAGAGAAATTTAATTAAAAAATTTGCATTAAGTTCTTCACCATATAATTTTTAACAATTTTTAATTTCTTAAGAATAGTATTTTTTAATTTGAAATGTATTATTAGTAATATAATATATTTTAATTAATTTAAGACAATATTTTTGAATATTCTAGATAAAGAAAACAGTACCCCCACTCTCCCTGCATGGTCAATTACTGTGGCGAGAATTCTTTTACTGTGCAGCAACAAACAATTCTAATTTTGATAAAATGCAAGGAAATCCAATTTGTGTGCAAATACCCTGGGACAAGAATGTCGATGCCCTGGCGAAATGGGCTAACGTAAGTTTAAGAAAATGCGTGAGATTAAAATTCATCATTTCAAAAATATATTTATTTAAGAAACGGGAAGAAATTTGTCTGAGTGAAAATGTCTTTTTCCACTGATACATAAATTTTACTATACCTACTAATAATAATATATGAGTTTAAAAGTCGCATATAAATTATAAATGTTTTTTAAAATATACTGTCAGCTTAAGTATTAAATAACAATTTAAAGTAACATTTAAATAATACAATTAATACAAACTTCATTCCATATGAAATATTTCAGGTGCTCAATTTTTTTTTTTTTTCAAAAAACAATTTTTTCAAATTCTACATGAAAAATCAGAAAACACGTATTTATTTATTTCGTTATTGAATGCAAATTATAGAAGTTCAGAGTTTTTTAAATCACTTCAATTTTTTGAAAAGTCACTTTTTCGAAAAATTACTTATTATTATTTATTGCTTTCAAAAGTAATAAAATTCTTAGCAAAAATTCAATTATGTTCAAAAATATAAAAATATTCTCGTTAATATTTCAATTATTTTCAAAAACTTCTAATAAAATTCTAAGCAAACTTTCAATTATTTTCATAAACTTCTAATAAAATTCTAAGCAAACTTTCAATTATTTTCATAAATAATTAAAATTTCACAGAAATTCTATTATTTACAATTTTTTTTATAAATTTCTTCGCAAGAATTCAATTATTTTCATAAATATTAACATTTTTTACAGAAATTCAATTAGTTTCATATAAATATGTAGAATTTCAATTATTTTTAATACAATTTTAAACAAATTCCTCGAAAAATGGAGTTATTTTTGAAAATTTTATTTTAAAAATTCTTCGTATAAAAATTCAATTATTTCCAATAAAATTTAATAACGTAGAGTGTTTTCAGGACCTTAATTTTTGTCAAATAAAATTTAATAAAATTCTTCGTAGAAATTTAATTAATTTAAAAAATTTGTCGAAATTCAATTATTTTTAATATCTCCTGTTTAAATAAAATTTCCTAAAGGATTCAATTATTGGAAAAATTTTTTTTATTAAAATTCTTCGGAAAAATTCAATTATTTTCATAAATTACAAAATTCTACAGAAAAATTTAATTATTTTCATAAGTTATACAATTCTTTGAAAAAATTCAATTATTTTCAATACTATTTAAATTTAAATAAAATTTCTTGATCAAATCTAATTATTTTTATTATATATCATCAAAATTTGTTTTGATAGAATTCAATTATTTCTAAAAATTGCGTGATAAACTCTGTAGAAGAATTAAATTATTTTCAGTAAAATTTTAATTAAATTCCTCGTAGGAACTTTAATTTTCCTTGAAATATTGAATTTGAATTTTTGCAAATTTTATTATTTTTATTTTTGTCTATAATTTTTACAAATAATAATATGTTCATAGAAATTGAATTATTTAATTAATTTAATTTCAATTATTTTTAATATACAATTTAAAATAATTTCTTCGAAAAATGCAATTACTGTTGAAAGTTTTATTAAAATTTTTCGGAAAAATTCAATTTTAAGAAACATTCAATTATTTAATAAGTTATTTATTTTTGTATTTAAATAATTAATTTTAATTATTATAAAATGTTCATGTTTTCTAATAATATTCTCCTAAATTGTTTAATTTCAAAAAGGTTTGAACTTGAATTTTTTGAAGAATTTTAATTCCAAATGGAACAATAATAATGTTTAAATATTTATTTAAAAGAGAAGTCATTGATGTTTTCGAATAATTTTATAATTAAAAATTAAAAAATGTAAAACAATCACAACTTTCACGATTTTCATCTGATAACGAAATAAAATAAATGTTTTCTTATTTCTCATATAAAATTCAAAGCAAATTGTTACAAATAAAAAAATTTTTAATCAAAATTTCACCCGGAATGTCTCAAAATTATAGAAAATAATTCAGGCCAAAAAAATGCAAAGGAGAATAAATTTTCGCGAATTTTCATGCACTATTCTGCCGTCGTACAAAAAAATTGTAGAAAATAAAAAAAGTGACCGCATTTTTTTGTTTACAAATTAATTAATATTTAATATAGTGCTGCCCGAGCTCTGAAGTTTTCCATGTATTTTACATGAAAAAAAACTTTTTTTTCCGTAAATTTGCAATAAATTTGAAAAAGTACTTACTGGAATTAGTATCTAATAATATTTCAAGTCCTTAGAGAGCACGTTTTAAGTTGTTGCTGCATATTCGAAGCACTGTTGGGAATTCATATTTCACATGCTAAGATATATTTTTGAATAATTGAGGATAATTGACGTGTTTTAGACCCCATCGCATCGGCGTGTAAGACTATGTAATTTTGATTGTGGTCTCTCGACCGTTTTCCGTATTCACCGGGGCAATTATATCCGCTCTGGCTCTGGATTGACGGGAGTGATCCTCAGGGTATTGGCAAACCTACAGGATGGCACAGATGAATCAAAAAATTTCGATTTTAACAGTAATTTGTCGATTCTTTTTTTCGAAACAGGAATTCTGATGATATACTATACTAATGATAATAGAAATAATAATAGTGTAGATATATATTTTGAAAAAAATTGCCACACTGGACTTTGAAAAATTGAATTGAGTAATATAATAAACTGTGATAACTATAAATATGAGATGAATATTATTTTTAGAACTCTATCGCATAGTATGAAAGACAGAAAGAAATCAGGTTGAGTTTCATGAATAAATCGGATTATTTAAAACTGTTTGGTAGTGTAAATAAAGTTAATAAACTCGAGATTGGTTGGCTGATGATGAGTGTCTCGAAGCACGTTTTTGCTTGCTCTTCTGCATAAACATAAGGAGTGAGGAGAGCATTGAACTTTTATTTTCCAACAGGGACAGACGGGCTTTCCTTGGATCGATGCGATAATGACTCAACTGAGGGAGGAGGGCTGGATTCACCACTTGGCTAGACACGCTGTCGCATGCTTCTTGACCAGAGGTGACCTTTGGATCTCCTGGGAGGAAGGGATGAAGGTGAAACGTTACGGAACCCATAGATTCTCTAAACCCATCAGCATCACTCTCTAAATCAGTCACTTCAAAAGTTCAAATTTCAAAGTGACTCAGATTCAAAAATCATTTCATAAACAGGCTTTGTACTCATCTACTAAAAGCTAAAACCTACTACTGTATTTACACTGAGAAAACGATTTATTTGATCCAAGCAAATTTTGTTTACATCAAACTTAAAATATCTTTGCTATACAGTCTAAAAAATTGAATTTTAGAAAATTTGCAAATCATTGCAGAAATTCAATTAGGGGCCGTTCAAAAAATACGTAACGCTATTTTTCGGAAATTTGGACTCCCCCCCCTCCCCCATGTAACGCAATGTTGTATACTTTAGCGCCATTTTTTCTGCTGACCGTAACAAATAGCTTGACCCCCCCCCCCCCCTAAAGCGTTACGTATTTTTTGAACAGCCCCTTATGTTCAAAAGTAACCAATAAAATTCTTCGCAGAAATTCAATTCTGTCCAAAATTTTTTAAAAATTCAATTTATCTTTCGAAACAATAAAATTATTCTCCGAAATTTAATTATTTATAGGAATTTTAATAAAATTCTTTGCAAAAAATCAATTATTTTCATAAGTAACAATATTCATCACAAGAATTCAATTATTTTCAAGAGCAATAAAATTCTTCGTAGAAATTCAATTATTTTCAAAAATTTTAACGAATATCTCGTCAAGAATTTAATTTTCTTCATAAATAACAAAATTTTTCACCAAAAGTTCAATTACTTTCAAAAATTTAAATAAAATTCTTTGCAAAATTTCAATTATTTTCAAAAGTTTTTCGCAATTCAATGATTTTCAAAATTTTCAATATTTACTGTTTTCATCAAATTTATCGCAAAATTTAATTATTAAAAACAATTTTTTGATACAATTCTACGAAAACATTAAATTATTTTCATAAAGAATAAAATTTCTTTTAGGAATTGAATTATTTTCATCGCAGAATTTCAAATATTTATTTAATACAATTTTAATTAAATTTCTCGAAAAATGCAAGAATTTTTATGAAACTCGACGAAAGAATTCAATTTTAAGAAATATTTAATTATTCAATAAAATAATTAAATTCGTTGCAATAATTCAATTTATTATTTTGATAAATATCAATATATTTATCACAAGAATTCGATTCTTTTGAAAAGTAATAAAATACTTTGGAGAAATTAAATTATTTTCAAAATTGTTGAAAAATTCTCGTCAAGAATTCAGTTATTTTTATAAACAGGTACCGAAATTCTTCTCAAGTAGTTAATTAATTTCAAAATTTTCAATAAATTTTTTGGCAAAATTTAAATTATTTAAACAAAATTTAATAAAATCCTTCCGATGAATGTAATTATTTTCATAAATTATTATTTAAATTCTTCTCCATATTTCAACTATTTTTAAAAATTTTAATAAAGTTCTTCCAAATGTTTGAATTATTTTCAAAAGTTGTTAATAAAATTCTTTATAAAAATTCAATTATTCAATAAATTATTTTTTTGTATTTTAAATATGTAATTGAATTCTCGTATAGAATTTTTTAATAAAAATTTAATTCAAAATGAATTTCGGTTAAAATTTTAGATAATAATTGAATATTAAAATCATTATAGCGTGAATTTTTAGAAATAATTGAATTTTTAAAAGGTTTCAAATTAAAATCTTTGAAAGTTTAAATTTTCATACTTTTAAATTAAAAATTTTGTGAAACTAATTATTTCGAAAAATTTTAGTTGAAATTATTAGAAGTCTTTATTTTCTAATATCTCTTTAAATGAAGAATTTCCGAATAATCGATGAAATTTTGGTAAAATTGAATTGTGAACAATTGTAATTGAAAATTAAAGAACTTTTTCAAAAATTGTTAAAAATAATTGATTTAAAGAAGAATTTTAGTTAAAAGTTCTATAGAAAATAGTAATAATTGAATTTAAATGATGAAAATAATTTCGAAGTAGTTAGATTAACAATATTTTTATAGAAAGTAATAATTTTATCACTGGGTTATTTTTAATTATTACAAAGACATGAAGAAATTGATCACTTCGAGTCGAAGTGTTTTTCTTTCTTCATGTTTTATAATAATATTCTTAAGTTATTGAATTTCAAAAAATTTTGAATTTGAATCTTTTAAAGAATTTTAATTTCTATGGAAAAATAATAATGATTAAGTATTTATTTAAAAATGAAGTTATTGATGTTTTTGAATAATATTAGAGAAATTTGCAAATAAATGTAATAGAACAGTTTTTTAGTGTCTAATAATTTTTATAGAGTGAATCAGAATATTTTTTAGAGTCAGGGAAAAATTTAAAATTCTTTTTTGAAATCAGGGAAAAGTCAGGGAAAAACAAAGTTAAAAAAATTAATAGAAAAATTATAAATAAATAAATTAAAAAAATGATTTTATTTTCGAATGTAATTTAATTTAGCAAATAATAAAAAAGCTGAGTCGTTAAATTTAATTTTTCGATAGTTACTTTTTGCTACTTTTTTGAAATTTAATTATCGAGTACAAAGCCTGAAAGAAAAAAAAGAAAGAAGAAGAATTAAAATTTTGAAGCAATATTTCTTCCTTTTATTATGTAAAGTATATTTTTGCTAATCGAATATTTCAGGTTTTCGATGAACTACTATTGGACGCCGACTGGTCAATAAATGCCGGAATGTGGATGTGGTTGTCCTGCAGTTCGTTTTTTCAACAATTTTTCCACTGCTATTGCCCAGTGAGATTTGGAAGAAAAGCAGATCCAAACGGTGACTATATCCGGTGAGTATATATATGCAGCATATGCAGGCAGAGTGAGAGTAGAGCGCGCCCATTATTTTCGACTTTTTTATTCACATTTGGTTGTTCGATTTTCTGCCCTGTCAGGCGTTATTTGCCTGTCTTGAAGAATTTCCCAGCGAGATATATTCACGAGCCTTGGAATGCCCCGATGTGTGTTCAAAGAGCAGCCAAGTGCATTATTGGAAGGGAATATTCCCATCCCATGGTCAACCATACTAAGAGCTCGAGAATCAACATTGAACGAATGAAAAATGTTTATCAGCATTTAAACAAATATCGTCATCCCGGTGAGTTTAGGTCGTCCAATTTTGAAATTCTCTATACACTAAATAAAAGAAGGAATTCAAATGATAAATTTTCGATAATTATCCGATAATCATTTATTTTAGCGGAATATTTTTTTTCGATGGCTATAATAAATATTTATTTGGTAATTTTCCATTGGTCAATTTGAATCGATTCTTTTTTTTGGTGTATCAATTGTCAAGTGACAATTTTTATACATGTTTTCTAATAAATAAATGGTACAATTTTTTTTAGTATTTATTTATTCATAATTTTTTTATAATATATGGTATAATTATTTATTATGCAACTTATTTGCCCATGGGACTATTATCATTAACAAAAAGAAATATATGGAAAGACTTTAGTATTTTATTAGAATAATGAAACTGACGATGTTTGTATTTTTGTATACTCTTAGGCGAGGCTGTTTAAGCAGAAAGAATAGGTGAGTTATCAACAAAGAAAAACCACGGTTTAATAGAATATTACCAAAATTTATAGTACCTTCAAATTATTTACTTTTATTTTTTTTAGAAATACACCCAGAGAAATGTATTTAAACAGGGTTGCCACAACTATCATCAAAATAATTGCTTATAAATTATTTAATCAATAATTTTCCTTTAATGTTTCAAAATTAATAATTGAACTTTAAGAGTTGCGTTTAGAATTTTCATAAATAATATTTACAATACATTTTTCAAAAATCATAACATCTTTATAGATTTTTATTTGAAAATTTATAAAATATCAATTTTTCATTAATTTAATTAGAAATTTTAAAAAACTTGAATTTTTGAAAAATTGTAAAAATTCCAATTTTTCTGAAATTAGTTAAATTTTTTATTTAAATAATATTAAAATAAAAAAATAATATTTAAATAATTATTAAAAATAATGGATTTATAGAAGAATATTAGTTAAAAATACTTCAAACAAAATTGAATTTTGGAGAAGTTACAATTGATTGCAAAAATTCAATTACTTTTAAAAGTAATAAAATTCTCTATTGAAATTCAATCAGGTTCGAAAATATTAAAAAAATTATCAGCAAATTTTCAATTATCTCTAAAAATAATTAAAATTTTTCTTTAAAATTCAATTATTTTCAAAAATTTCCATCAATTCATTGATTTTCAATATTTTAATAAAATTTTCCAAAAGAATTCAATTATTTAAAAAAAGTTTTAATAAATGAATCATTTTAATAAATAATAAAAATTTCCCAGAAATTCAATTATTTACAAATTCTTCAAAATTCAATTATTTTCAAAAATTTCCGTCAATTCAATGATTTCCAATATTTTAGTAAAATTTTCCAAACGAATTCAGTTATTTAAAAAAGTTTTAAAAAATGAATCATTTTCATAAATAATAAAAATTTCACAGAAATTCAATTATTTACAAATTCTTCAAAATTCAATTATTTAAAAAAAAATTTAATATAATTCAACGCAAACATTTAATTATTTTCAGAAATAATAAAAATTTCATAGGAATTCAATTTTAAAAACATTCAATTATTCTCGAAATTATTTATTTTTGTACATAAAAAATTTAATTCTCGTTGAATATTCTAATGATTCATTGAAATGATTTTCAAATAGTATTTTATATAATAATTCAATAATAAAAGCATTATAGCGTGAATTTTTAAAAAGAGTTGAATTTTGAAACAATTTTAATTAAATTCGTCTAAACAAATTTCAGGAATTCAATTATTTTCATTAATGGTAAAAGTTTTCAGAGAAATACAGTTATTTTCAAACTTTTAAAAAATTTTTTTACATAAGAATTCAATTACTTTTATAATACAACTTTAATTAAATTCCTCAAAAATTAAATTATTTTTACAAATAATAAAATTTTTTACTGGAATTTAATTACTTAAAATAAAAATTAATAAAATTCTTCTCTGCGGATTTTAATTATTTTTAATATAATTTTAAATCAATTCCTGGAGAAAATTAATTATTCTTAAAAATTTTATTAAAATTCATTGAAGGAATTCAATTATTATTTAAAATTTTTTTGATAAAATTCTTTATGAGAATTAAATTTTAAGAAACATTCAACTATTCAATAAGTTATTTATTTTCGTATTTCATTGAATTCTCATTGAATTTTCTAAAGAAAAATTTATTTAAAAATGAATTTCAGTTAAAATTTTAAATAATAATTGAATATTAAAAGCATTATAGGATGAATTTTTAGAAATAATTGAATTTTTCAAAGGTTTCAAATTAAAATCTTTGAAATTTTGAATTTTATATATTTTTGCCTATGACAATTCTGTAGAATTAATTTTTTTGAAAAAACTTTAATTGAATTCTTTTTTAATTATTTGAAGTTTTTAATTTATTACTGAATATTTAATTGAAGAATTTTCGTAAAATTGAATTGTGAGCAAATGGAATTGAAAATTCTTAAAGAAGTTTTTCAAAAATTATTTAAAATCAAGTGATAAATTCAATATTATTAAATTATTTATTAAATAATTAATTTAAAGAAGAATTTTAGTTAAAAATTCTAGAAAATAAAAATTGAATTTAAATGCTGAAAATAATTTTGAGGAAATAACAGTAACAATATTATAATACAAAATAATGATTTTATCACTCGGTCATCTTTAATTATTATAAAACATTCTTTCAAGTTGTTGAATTTTAAAAAAGATTTGAATTTGCATGTTTTAAAAAATTTTAATTCCAAAGGAAAAACAAAATTAAATTTTTGTTGTAACCCTGTTAAGTCAAATATAATTTTTTTGAGTCAAATAAAAGTAGTCAAATAAAAGTCTACTAAATTATTTATTTAAATTGAATTCCCTTTTAAATTATCTATTTGTCTTAAATATATTTTATTCATTAAATAAAAAATTCAGATAAAAATAAAATTTCTAATTGAACCAAATTGAATTCTATTTGAATCAAATAAATAATTCAGTAGACTCTTGAGTCTTTTTTCTGTATGTTTCTATATTTTTTAAAATCTTTCGAAAAAAAGAATTTTGAATTAAGGGGGATAATATAAGTCATAAGATATTACGATGTCACCAGTAGTGAAAAATAATTCCGAGTTGCTCATTGTTTCAACTGAATTTGATGGGCATTTTATACATTTTATGTTTTAAAAAAATGAGAATGTAACAAGACCGTGGAAATAATAAATGTAATTAAAAATTTTATTCTATATATAGGTGTTAAATTATAAAAATCCTATTAGACATTTCTAGTGTGGAACTTTGATCAATATTAGTTTCTAAAAGTTTTTCTGTTCTTTCAGAGATTTTAATTTCTCCTCTTGCATCGCATGCAACTGCAAATCCATCCGAAGAAATGAATCAGCAGAAAAATACTGAAGATAATTTTTCGAACGATGTTAAAGAATCGGAAACTATATATTAGGAAGCGCAAAATTAAAAGCGATTTAGATATATATGAAAAAAAGAAGAAGTATTGCTCTATCGGTTTGAGTTTAATAAGCGTGAAATGAAGAAATTCGACAATATCTTGAAATTTTCTATCGAGTATGTTTTTTTTCTTCATATAAGAATGGAACTTGAGACCTCAAAGTATTGACTGAATTTATTTCTCTATATCGTAGATTTAATATTAAATGTGACCTGTAAAATTTGCCTTCAGAAAATTTTAATTTGAAATATGTTTCTTTGACAATAGTGTCAAAAAAAAAAAAAAAAATTGAATGAAAAATTTCGTTTTCTGTTGATAAATTTTAAACCTAGTAAATAGTAAATTTTTCACCAATTATTTAAGTTATTAATAATTTAGAACTTTCGAACGATATTAAAATTACTAACACAAATTATAAAAAAGGTACAACTTGAATTATATTTTATTTATATTTTTATGTTTTAGATTTTATAAATAAAAATCGTTTCTAACAGATATTAAAATAATTCAAATTATAAGTATCGAAAATTCTGTTTCATTCATTATGAAAATTTGTATATAAAAATTGATTACTCATTCATTGTATTTGAATAAAAAATTATTTTGTACTATTTCGTTCTACTTCTTATTTGACACAATAATAACTTGAAGTAATTTACAAAATTTTCATTTATTTTTCTCTTTATGTATATACTTAAAAATTATAGCCTTTAGAAAATATTTTTTTAAATAATGGAATGAGGTTCCATTGAAACTGCGAATTGAGTGCTAGACATGAAAATTTTCCGAGACTTGCGATAAAAGTGTCAACATTTTTACTGGCGTATTAAATATGTCAAAAGATTTGCAGTGGCATTATGGCGCACAAGCAATGCTGTGGAGTTCATTATTTTCGCACACTAAAGAGAGAAAAATAATGAAAAGGTAGAGCAAAAATCTTCAAGCTTGCATTTTACATTTTAAATTCCTTCACAATTTTTATTAGGTTTCGTTTGTTTTCTTTAGTAAATGTTTAGTGGAAATTATTACTTTTCAAGAACATTCTCTGTATACATTGTCCAAATAATATAGGAATCAAAAAGTATTATATTATTTCAAAGTCAAGAATTTAATTTAATTAATTAAAAAAATTTTTTTTATTCACAGTTGCCTTAAAAATTCAATTTTGATTTTTCCTGCCTTTTCCCTGATTTACAGATTGAATTTCTTTTTCCTTTATTCATATAAAAAAATTAAAGTAGAGTTCAGATGTAAAAAAAATAATTTTTAATATAATTTCAGAATGTTTCAATTATTCCCAAAATTTCAATTATTTATTTATAAAAATTCAATTATCATTTAACAATTCAATTATTTTAAATAGAATTTTAGGAAATTTCAATTATTTAAAAAGGTTTTAATAACTTATTTATAAAAATTCAATTATCTGTAGAAAAATAGAATTGAAATTTTGTTTAAAATTATTGTGGCGATCTTTATTAGATTATTTTCAACAATTTCAATGAAATACGTAAAAAAATTCATTTACTCCTATAATATAAATTATTAATATAATTACAATTATTTCAAAAACTTTTATTACTTGATATAAATATTCAATTAACTTTAAAAAACAAAACTGAAATATTTTTAAAAGATCAATGTGGTATAAACTACTCTCGATTATTTTCAAGAATTTCAATAAAATTCTATAAAAAATTCAATTATTTAATTTTAATAAAATTTTAGAACATTTTAATTATTTACAAAATTCCAATTACTTGCTCATAAAAATCTAATTATAATTTAAAAAATAAAACCGAAATTTATTAGAAAATTATTGCAGAGAATTTCAATTATTTTTTCGGTTATTTTCTAGAATTTCAACAAAATTTAAATATAAATTTAGAATTACTTTTAATTTTAACAGAATTTTGGGAAATTTCAATTATTTCAAAAATTTCAGTTAGGTACTTTTTTTAAATTAAATTATCTTCAAGAAATGAGAATTGTATTAAAATAATTTAATTCTCATTTCTTGAAGATAATAAAAACCTTAATTTTTTAGAATTTTAAATTGAAATTGAAAACTTCAATTTCTTAACAAAATTTTTAATTTAAATGTTCCTCTAATTAACTAATTAATAAAAATTGCAATTGTAACTTTTTCAAAATAAAGGTATTTAACATTAAAATTTTCAAAAATTTTGGTTTCATACTGCGTCAAAATTAAATTATTTTGAAAATTTTATTGAAATTTTTTAATTAATTAATTTTTTAATTTAAATGACATTTTTGTTTGAAAAATTCAATTTTTTTAAAAGTAGCGTTCCAGATAATTTCTGATTACTTTTAAAATTTCGATTACTTTTTTTTAAATTAAATTATCTTTAAGAAATGAGAATTGAATTATTTTAAAAACCCTAATTTTTTAGATTTTTAAATTGAACTTCAAAACTTCAACTTTTAAAAAAAATTTTAATTTAAATGTTAACATAAGTTTTTTAGAATTTTAAATAATATTATTTAAAACTTAAATAATTTTTTAAATAAATATTTCTTTATTATCAATTTCTTCTTTTGAAATTTTCAAAAATTTTCGTTGCAAACCGCGTCGAAATTCATTTATTTCTGACAATTTAAATTGTTTTTAACTGAAACGGTCCCTAATTATTATACCTAGTTCACAACTAAAAACAGAAATATTTTCTTTAGAATTATTTAAAAAATTAAAAAGATTATTATAAAATAAATTTAATTATTTAGACAAATAAAATATCGCAAAGTATTATTTTAAAAATTCGTTAAGATTATAAAAAGTTTATACGAACTGAAAGAAAATGTCAATGATATAAATAACTCAAAATTAATTTTTTGTCACGTAAGGTCCCTTTCACCGTGGAGCGTCACATATTGTGCATGATATAATGGAGATGTAACGAAATCCAACACTGGGGCTGAATACTCCTTGTAGACTGTGCCAACCTGTGAGATGCTGCGATGGAATAATTTCATCCTGTAAATTACTGTATATTATTTCATAAAACAAAATATTATTAAATATTTAGAAAAATATAAAAATATTATTAAAGCAAACTAAAATAATACTATATTTTCCAAAAATACAAACAAATTAAGACTTTTTGAAAAATTTTACTCACAAAATAATTATTATTTTTAAAAAAATTTTTTTTTATACTGCAGTCGACTCTTGATATATTCTTAAGGGACATAAAAAAGTTGAAAATTATCCAGAGTTCTTTATCGATTGTTTTAAATATCAAAATTTGTTCAATGAACCCGAAGTTCAATTTATTATTAAGAGTTTAATTCAATCGAAAGTCGACTTTATATTTTTAAATATTAAATATTTTTCATTTACAAAATTTACTGTATTATAATTTATACACTGTAAAAAATTTAGGGAGTTAACGGACTCGGGAGTTAAATTTTTCGAGTTAAAAATCAACTCCAAAAGAGAGTTAATTTCCAACTCCCTTTATTCAACACCCGCGCGAGTTATTTTTTCCATGGGGAGTTAGCATTTGGGTGTTAAATTTTAACTCTCTTTATTTAACTCCCCTGGCATTAACTCTCCAATGGGTGCGACTTTTATAGAATCCCCTGGGGAGTTAAAATTTAACTCCCTTTTTTTACAGTGTAAAAGTAATTTCAAAAAATGGAACATAAAAAAAATTTTTCAGTAAAAATAATAATAGGTGGTGGGTATTAAATGGTAAAAGATAAAGACATAATCTTTGGATTCATGTCAACAAATGATATATTTAGTACCTATACAGTGAGTTTCCTCCTCTATGGTTTACATTTTTTAAACAATTACAAATGAATATTTCTCAACACTCAAAACGGAACTAATACTCGTATATCCCTCGTTTTACAAATGATTATAATATGTCGGTTGTTTCTTCTTGCTTCTTATTATTTATTTTTTTTTCTTTTTTTGTTAAGATGATTATGAGTCACCGTTTAAACATCGTCGCGTTATTAATAGCATTTTATTAATTGTAATAAGGTCGTCGGTAATTACGTTCGCGGAGCGTAATCACTCTCCTTCTCCTCTATACAAGTGTATCTCGATTTCGCGCCATTACGACATCGAAATTATTTTTTTTTTTTATATATTTTTATTTTATTTATTTTTTTTTTATTATTCGAGTGATTATACTCGGTGTACAAATAAAAAAACGAGGATTCTCCGATTATCCTCAAAACGGTTAAAGAGCTTCAGGGCTAGAACTGATGGCAGAATAGGTGTTTCTTTATTTATTTTTTTGTGTGTTAGGCATTGCACACGCACTGAAAGCAATTTTACTATATAAAGTAGTAGGTACTATTTATCTATTTACTTTTTAGGCGAACTATCTCTTTATTTGAAAGCACATATTTTGTACTTAACGAAATTTTTTTTTTGTGAGAAATGAGTCTTTTCGTTTGAACTTGTTTTTTTTTATAAATGAGTTTTGAAGAAGTTGCTTTTCGTGCGTGCGTCGTATACCTAAAAATCTCGCGCTCTTCGTTTTTCTTTTCTATTATCACGCTACTGTTTTTAATTAAACTCCTACGCGGAGGCCCGAATCCTCGCATTATAAGCGCAACTCTGCGCAAAATTGGACTCTTTCGTTGAGGTCCTTTTTTTATCGTTTGTCGGATGTGTGAACTAAAAGATTCATTCTTTTTTGTAAACAACTACTTTTTTTGCGTTTACGACCAAATTAAGAAATTTCTTTTTCTCATTTTCGCAAATATATTTGTAATTTACAATTTTAGCTGCGTTTTTATTTTAATCTGCGGAATTCGCAATTCTTACATTACTTCTCAGCTGAAAAAGTTCTACAGAAGTTCACTTGAATCATTCTATATGAATTCTAGTAAATATTCTACAGAATTTCACTAGAATGATTCTATAGAATTTCTACATGAATTCCACTAAATTTTAGTGATTTTTAATTAGAAACAATTTAAATTCGTGAAATAATATTTTCCAACTTTATATTATTGTGTAATTGAATTTTACATTTGATTCATATGACAAATTTTAGGCAAAAATTGTTTATATCATTTAAAAATATTTAATTCATTTAACTTAATAACTGGTCTCGAACCAGTCAAAATATTTCAAAAAACTGACTTTACGAAAAAAAATGAAAAATTACGGACTAATTATCACTGACAAAAATATAACCAGTCCGAGTCAAATAAGAAAACATTTTACTTAAAATTATAAATTAAATTTTTTCATAACTATAAAACATGAAGATATCGATAACTCCGAGTCTTCAAAATTATTTTCATCATTTCAATTCAATTACTGTTTTTTACAATTTTTAACTAAAATTCTTCTTTAAATCAATTATTTTTCATAATTTTTGAAAAACTTCTTTTAAAATTAACAAATCCATTTGTTTACAATTCAATTTTACCGTAAAAATG